TGCAATATTGCTATCTTATCACATATATCCATCTTTACGCGGGATATTTTTGGTTTTCGACTGTTGCTCATAGTGATGAATTGGAGAGACATGAGGACTATTTTGTGAACTTGGCTGTTCAGCTCCTTTCCACTTACAAGGTACTCTATATGTTTTGATTTTCTAAGTGCCGTTATCCAAGCAGAATCTTATAGGAGCTTTCGTTTTCTTTTCTTCTTGAAGGAGCTTAATCTATCTGTGCATTCTCTTCTTCTTCTCATCCACAACCTCATAGTTATCCTTTCTGACAAATTTGTAATGATTTGCAGAAAGAGCTGGGACCTGCTATAAGTCGTATTGGAAAATTTGTGGAGAACTTAAAGACCTTGAGTGAAGGGTAATTCGATTTTGGCATAACAAGATGTTTATGACATATTTTGGCTTGTTTTATTATCTGCTCCGCCTATTTTGGGTCAAGTATGTAATCTGCCTTTGGATACTACAGTTCTGAGGTCATTTCCAACGCGGGAAATGAAGAGTCTAAAGCAGTTCACCCCAGGAAACATCTCGAGGAGGAGTATTTAGATTATGAAGCCAAGGTACAATTCTGTTTGGCATTCTAACCGTTTTTGGTTGGGTGGTAGATCATGCTTTACTGTAGAAACTTGCGCTGCAAATATGATGATCTACATGTTTCGCCCCTCCAGTTGGTGCTATTGTCTGTTTATCTAATTTAGGTTTTGAAGTGATATATTTGCTGATAGCTCTGTATCAAATTTAGACTAGGTGTCATGTGCATATCAATGACCCTTGTGAGCAATGTGCATACTTTTTTCTTGAAATAGCTTTATTCAGTGTTATCGTTAATGTCTTATAGTCTCTCCTCGATTTGATTGCCTCCAAGGTACTATTTTGAGTCTTCTATGAATCAGCCAATAGGGTGATCATCGTATTAAAATATTTTCAGTAGACACCCTGTTCTAAACCAAAAATCTGTCAAAAGAGATCATTACATCTCCATATGTCATTTCAGATTGTAACGACATTCAGTGTAGTGGATAACATGAAGGAGCAATTCTATGCTCGGCGAAGTGAAATATCAAGGTTAATAATTCTGCTGCTATCTTTCATAACGGGATTCCTTCTTTCCTGTTGTTTGAATTCCTTATCTCACAGAAACGGGTACTTCTGCAACTTTCTGATTCAGGAAAGATGACCGGAAAGTGAAGGAGTTATTTGACGACATTGAAAAGTTGAGAGCAGAATTTGAATCTATCGAGAGACCCAATCTGGAAATGGAGACCCCGACCCCCAAGGAAGAGACTCCTCAAGAGATGCCATCCACAGCACTGCCGGATTCTGTGACACAGAGTGAGGAGACTCCAACAGCCAGCGTAACTAAGCATCGTGAGTCTCCTGTGTCAAGTGCAGAGCCAGTGCTAGACACTGAAGCAGAATTAGCCAAGCTGGAGTCTGAGTTTGGGAAGGTGAGTAAGGACTATTCGACGGAGGAGATTGGTGGCTGGGAGTTTGACGAGCTTGAAAGAGAGCTGAGATCTGGCGATTGAGCAACCGGTAACTAAAAGTCTAAAGCTATCATCTATGTCGAAAGTGGTTTTTTCCTTAAGGAAATCGTAATGAAAATGCTTCATACTGTACAAGTATAACTATGGATCGCGTCTCTTGAAAGCTGCAGGAGCAGCCTCACCAACTTTTAATTTATTCATTCTTCTGTAAATACCTCGCATGTATGTTGTAACCTGGTACTCGGTGGAAATCCCGTATGAAAGTACTATTTTATTTAGGTTAAAAGAACTCTAATCCTTTGCCAGATCCTTGGGACGTTCTTGTTTGTTTCTATGATGCAACGGTCTCGTGCTGGTTGAGCTACAGATGTCGACGCGATACCACATTGCATCGTGCACCGCACATGGCTTTTGATTTTGGTCGAAGTTGTGGTCGAAACTGCTTGCCTGCTCCAAAGTGGGGGGGATTTTATCTCTGAAGTTGCCGGGGGTGGACCTCCCGTGCCCCTCTCTCTGTCGCTCTTGCTCTCTCTCTCTCTCTCTCTCTTTACAGAGAGGGAAGTAGAAAATCGCGAAACGTGGGGCACCGAGATTGTTGTTTTGATATTTGTATGGCGAAAGTTCTTCCGGATATGGAAGTTGGAGCTCGTGTCATCTTTCGCGGAGCATCATCATTGTGCGGGGGGCCTTGCTTGCTCGGGAAATGAGGGTACACAAGCAAGTGGTTTAACTGGAAATCTCTTGAGAAAAGGCGAAGCCCTTACGTTGACCCCCGGGGGGAAAAGGCTTTGCTTGAAGCTGTTCGATTCCTATTCAATGTTGCACTTGTCTGCTTTTTGTGCCTTGCTCGGGGGATACCCGGCAACGGAGACCCCGCAATCGAGATGGAGAGGCCCACCTTGTCAGCCCTTGGGACTGCTTGAACCTTATCGGTGTCCAGATATTCTGGTGGTGGTGGGTTATTTCGCTGGAACAAGTTGTGGCTTCCATTTGCCCTTCTCTTTTACATGTCTTTTGCCCCAAAAGTAAAAGATTTTGGTAAATTCTTTTGGTCATCTTTGCACACGATGAAAACTGCCCTCCCTAATGTTAAAAAAGTAAGATCTATGCTCCTACCAGAAAAGGCAAAGAAAGAAAAGAAAGGAAACTCTAGGCTGGAGGAGATTCATGAGTACAATCAAGTACCCCAAGCAAGATTTTTTTACCGAGGCTCCTTTCACTGAACAGAAAGCTACTTTTGGCCCTTTTGAACCGTTTCGTGCAGAAAGCAACTCGGTCTGCGGATGGGACAAATTTTCTGGTTAAAAAAAGTAATGAGCAAGTCGCTTTGCCCAGAATGGGTGAATCCAAGCTGTTCTTCCAGGAACAGTCCCTGCGATTATTGGGGGAAAAGACAGAGATGTTGCAACTACCCCCATGACTCTCTTTTGGGCAACGAATACCCCCCCATCTCACTTTGAATTGCAAGAACATCATCAGTGCCATGGCCTAAGTCTGCTTTCGTCTGTTGAGGGGGAGGGGGAAAGAAAAGCAAAAGAAAGGGTTGATCGAGAAAAGAAACAGGAGAGAATTTTGGTCTAACGTGCGGACTGTATTAAAAGGGAAGACGGGGACAAGACGGTCTCGAGCCTCGCGGGCAGTCCATCCATAAATTCTTAGCTCCCACTATCCAATGTCGCCTCTTTGTGTTTGTCTTTGTCCTCACCAGGTCAACATCTCTCTCTCTCTCTCTCTCTCTCTCTCTCTCTCTCTCTCTCTACTCCATCAACAAATGAATACAACCCTAAAGATTTTGATACTATGGACCCCATCGAATCATGGGTTTAAGGGTTAGAAGCCATTTGTAATTCGTTGGTATTAGGTCCTGCATAAGTGTACCAAGAACGTGGTTTATATATCAGTAGATATGCCCATGATACTCCTGTAGAAGACCCAATTCAAAAGAATGAACAAGAACATACGCAGAGAATCCACTGAATGTAATCAAACCTAGTAAAGTGAAAGTGATTTTCAGGTTCTTAGGCTTGCTTTTTCCTTCTTAGTTTAAGGGCGTGGGGCCAACAGTTCTCTAATTATTGTTTAGATGATGGAGAAGCTCTTTGCGTTAACGAGATGCCAACGCCAGTGTTTTTTGGTTCTTTATTCAGTGGTGGTGCACAGAAGAACTGGCTTGGAGTATTTTATAGATGTAATGAACATCAGGTGGAGCCCAAAATAATTCTGATTTACTGGTGGCACTAGACATTTACCCGTGCATTGCGCGGATTGTCATACAATAGTATAATAAAAAGGGATTATCAAATATTTTAGCATGCATTTAACGTTACTTTAACGTTAGCCGTAAAAGATACACATAAAACTAAATTATCAAAGTACGAAACGACTTATTAGTATAAAAATAAGAATTCATAGACATGATGTAAAATATTATGTCTCACAAATACAATACTATCTCTGAAATGCATATAAACAGAAGATTTTGTCTACTAACTAATGTGGGAAAAACTTCATTAACACAAAGAGTTACACTTGAATAGTAAAACAATGAAGAGAGGAGAAGGATCATGGACAATAAGTGGGTGCATATACATTGTTATTTTTGTGGAAAAACCACCAAGACCTTTTCTTGTAACGAGGAGTCAAATTTTAGTAATCTACAGTTCTATGTGGCGCATTTTGACGATACTGAAAAAAGAAGAAGATGTTGTCCTAATATAATTACATAGAAAAGAGAATCAACAAATATCATACAACATTTTGTGCATGATCCTAGCTTGGAAAAATTTTACTTCCTGGAACCATGCAAGGCTTGTCTTGATTGCCACTGTCTAATCATAGTCAATCATGGCTAACATTTCCTCGTGTCAGCTTCCTTTTATCCTCATGACACGTTTGTCTTACTCTTGCATTTTCTAACCTTTGAAAGGAGTGATTAATACAAGCCTTAGACAGAAGCTGGGTAATTTGGCAAGGCTCAAATCAATCATGTGAGGGGAAGCAAAGTGGGGTCCCTCCTCCAACATTGTGCCTTAATACAAAACCATTTCTTTTTCCAACTACAAACTTTAATTAAATCAAGCAATGCTGATTATGAGAAGTGCCCCTCCTTTTCCATTGCCCTGTCTTTTGTGATTAGTGATTCCATTACTTCTAATCACTCAAAAGGGTTTTGTGGTCCCAACGACAAATAGGCTCTTGATGATGTTACCTAAGACTGCTTTGTTCCGGCCGCCATGAATTTATGGAATTTCTAAGTTACCCTATCTCTTTCTTTACGGCTATTTATTTTTTTGATAATGACAAATTGTCATGACATTGTAAAAAATTTCGCAACTTTATTTTGTACTTATTTCCGACGACACGTCATAATGTTATACAGTAACCTAAGGTACTATAGAAGTGTCCATTGAATTTATGGTACTATTTGTGCATAACACATTGATTAGTCACTCTCTCCATAGTCTTATAGTTTAATTCTTATTTTTCTTTCTTGCTTTTGTAAAGGTAATTAAAGTTAGGGGCAGGACTGCTCCCACTGTTTTGGGCAAGACAATCTAAAAGGGGCAAAAAGAAGAAAACAGATAATTAAAATGTTACTGAGGTGAAAAGAAAGGAAAATAAGAAAAGAATCTCCCTCTAGATTTTCAGACTTTTATGATTGAAAGCATTCAAAACAGGGTTCACTTTCTCAGACTGGCCTTGTGTCATCAGGCACATCTATAAAAGGATGCATGTACACAAATTCTCCACTCGAACGACCTCAATAGCAATCCCAGAGAGAGAGAGAGAGAGAGAGAGAGAGAGAGAGAGAGAGAGAGAGAGAGAGAGAGAGAGAGAGAATCTCTACATACTATGGCCAGAAGTCTTCCGTTACATCATGACCATTTAGAGGAAGAGTACATAGACATGGAAGTGAGTTCGTACTCCATCTTTCATGGCCACTCCATCATTACCAGTCCTCCTCAAACCCACAGAGAATTTGAGTTCCAAATGTCTTCAACCTCATTAGATCACAAAGAAGCCTCAACCTCACCAGCTGATGAGCTGTTCTACAAAGGCAAGCTACTCCCTCTCCACCTCCCTCCGCGCCTAGAGATGGTCGAAAAGCTCGTTGAGGTCGACCATGATGACAAATACTACGAAGAATTCTACAGCACTCCTCTAATGACGACTGCCCCGACGCCAACGGTGATGAGCACCCCATTCGACTCATGCAACGTGTCGCCCTCCGAGTCCTTCAGGATCAGCAGAGAACTCAACTTGGATGAGTATCTCGCTGACTTATCGGCGGTAGGAACGAGCAACTTCATGAAGGAAAGCGTGAAGATCAAGTCATGGACAAGGAGAATTAAGATAATCAAGCAGTCTTTGTCTAAGCTCAAGGCTTCCCGGGCCTACGTCAATGCCTTGTTTGGCAAATCCAGCTGCTCAGACGAGTCCTCCACAGAAGCGGCCCGAAACCATGCTTTGAAGACGAGCAAGTCTGGTGACTGGAGTGACGATTTGATGAAGAAAAACAAGTTCGGCCGAGTTCTCGGCGCGGTTAAAAGCTTTAATGAAGGGAAGGCCTTCGAGAATGGTGGCGGATCTCGGCACAGGAGGACGTCTGCCGTATCGAGCAAGCAGGCTTCATCAATTAAGATCTCGATGTCCTCCTCCTCGTCATCGTCATCTTCCAACTCTTCCTCGTCTTTGAGCTCGAATGACTCCAACAGGTTCGGCGAACTTCAGCTTCTGAGCGGAAGCAGCAAAGGGCATATGGAAGTAGAGTCACCAATTCAGGGAGCAATTGCTTATTGCAAGCAGTCTCAAAACATTTAAGAGGAGTAAGTTAAAGGGGCCAAAAAAGGACTGTCAGTGCAACTTCTTGTACTTGTCTTCCATCTAATAATAACGGTTTTGAAGATGACTAGGAAGCAAATTCCGATGGTATGGTCTAATGTTCCTGTCCTATTAGATTAGACCAGAGACTTTTGAATGTTTCAAAATGTACTTCCTCAAAGTCAATAAATGTGCAAGTCAGCATGCCATGGATCCTCAGTGTTTAAGAAACACCCACCAAAATTATTCATTTATTTTAACCTTTAGTTCAAATCTTCTTTTCTTTCTTCAAATAAGGAGAGAGATACAAATTCCCAAAGTGCTTTCGTGTTTCAAATGACGTTCATGTCGAAATGGTGTAGTATAAGATGAATGCGCATGGGACAGCGTTGTCCTCATTCATCGACTGATGATTAAAGTAGCAAATTGATCCCCGCTCCTGAGCATCTTATTTTTCTGGTTTTATTGTGAAGATTCCAAATGAATGGCGCCACATAAAGCATCCTTTCACTGGTCAGATGGATTTTCTGTCAATGAAGTCCTATCAGATAGATAGATAGCAATCTTTGCCACTCGAATCTTTGGCAAAGTTAAAGTCGCAGAAAAATTCTGAAGTGGCATAAAGAATCTGCATTACTATCATCTTACGTTATTTATGTCAAGGCAATGAAATGGTTGCTGTAAACTGTGCGTCGCTTTTTCTTGCCGTTAGCTAGTCGAATTGTTAACAGCTATCATTTTGGGTTGGGGGAACATGGCAGTTCAATGTAACAAATTCTGCATAGAGAAAGAAAAATAGCGAGTACACAATCACGTTGAAGACCTATATTTGCTCCCGGGATTACTTGTAGAGTATTTGCAAATCCTACATGGTTATGAAATATAGGTTGGACACTCGCCTTCCAGGTACGTGAAATGGTTTGCTTATGAACAAATAAATATCGTCCTGTAAAATAAACGGTGCGATTTGAATAGAAATGCCCTCTAATATAACTGAGTACAGGCCTTGAGTTAGCAAAATCCATGGGGGGAGACATTCTCTATTAGACCTGGCCTAGTTAGATCAGCTTTTTGCCACTCGATCACTTGGAGACTCAGCCATTGGTTCATGCAAATTCAGCTCGTCCACTGCTAAATTACGTAGGGCATGTGGATTCGGCGTTTGTCTATGTAGCTCGAGCCGAGCCGAGTCGAGATTTTCCCGGTAGAAAAACAGTCCTGGGTCAGACGAGAGGGAATGTGCATAGTTGGAGATGAAGACGAGTCGAGTGCTTCAAGAGGGCGGAGAGTGTGAGATATTATTATGTTAGGTGAAAAGGGTGAGCGTGGAACAATAGGAGCGAACAAAAAGATGACGAATGATTTGGGCAGGGAGGGTCGTTTTCTTCTTTGGTTTGCTTATCTTCTGAGTGGGGTGTACGAGAATCATAAATTAAGCCGACATGTCAGCCAGATATATGATTATGTTTGAGCAGAAAAGCGTCCTGAAAAGCAGGTTTCACGGTAGAGAGAGAGAGAGAGAGATAGAGAGCGAGAGAGATACAGAGAGAGGGGCCGGATGTACTCACACATGTACGGACTGCGAGAGATGCCGTACATTTGTACTCTCGAATTTCATTCTCGTCACAGACTTTCTCACAGAATTCAAATGGGTGCGACTCTGCTTCACTCAACAAGAAAAGAACTGTCAGGGCCGCCGAAGTTCTCCTGCCAAGAGCCTCGGCTGCTGCAAACTGGTTTTTCACAGAGAAAGTGAAGCCTTAATTGAACCCACTCCTTTTCCTACCGCTCGCGCACTTAGATCCTATAGCACCCACGTTCATGCTTAGTATTTTTCGTATTTAGGATAGCCAATTAAGTTCCTTTCTGATCCACGGTGCATGTTCACAAAACTTTCGTTAGCGGGTGCTCTTACATGACAATGAAACATTAGTAATCCTAAAAAAATTTGCTCTCAAGACATACGAGATGAATCAAATAGAGTTTCTTTGTTTTTTTTTTATTTTCTGTCAAAAAGATACTTTCCATTCATTAATTCCCGGCCCTATTACAATAGTAAGGGGCGTCAAAACACAGTAGCTCCCAAAAAGAAAGAGAGGGGGTCGAAACCCCATTTTATGGAAGAACCTTACATTTAGAGGCCTTAACTACCCAATCTGCTAGTTTATTTGAAACCCTGGAGCATTGGGCTAACTTAAGGTTGGGAAAGAGGGCCAACCGGGCTTTACACTCAGCGATAAGGGGTTCAACATCCCAAGAGCAGCGTATAAACTTAGTGAAGATAGCTTATCAAAGTGGAACCGTTTGATTTCAACACTAAGGCTCCATTTGTTTCGCGAAAAAATGAATGATTCGGAAAACATTTTCCTAAAAATGATCGCTTGTATTGGTTGAAATCCATGGATGTCACAGATGAGACCAGATTCCTAGTGATGAGGATTCATCGTCAGCATCTGTTCCAGAGAAGGTCAATGGCTCAATGTGGGTAAGGTTTTTGTGCAGGGCTGGTGAATGGGACTAAAGGCTCATTGGATTTGCAGTTTCCATTATGACAGGGTTATGATTTTAATGGCTGAAAGACAGAAAATGGATTTCAATGGACGTCTGTATTCAACTATTCATAGGGTTTGGGTAAAACAGGAAGCTAATGGAACAGCAATGGAAGAGTGTTGACGTGATGCTGGATAGTAAACGCTGGTGAATGTGGGGGAAGTGGGGAATCGTGGAGTGGGCGAAACATTTTTCTCCATTGAAATCTGCAAGGGGCATTAGGGTTCAAGGGACGTAGCTACCACCGTGGGGGTAGGGTTTTAGCTCCTCCGTACGAGAGAGATGTTCCTCACGTTCTGCCATAACACCTCTAAACATAGAGTTTCTTTGTTGGCCAGGTGCAATTTCACTCGTTACAAAACTCTTGAATCGTGTAATTCTCTTTAGGCATTTTCAATGCGTGTCAAATGTAGTTATTAATAGTGATTTCAGGACCCTTACCGTAACAATTTTCGATGTCATTCAAGATACAATGTTCATTTAGAATGTCGTAAAAGAAAGTTAATTGTCCATTTGAAACGGATACTTATTTTCCCGGGAAAATTTTCAGGACCAACCGAAACAGAAAGAAAGCAACCGACGAGAAGTTTTATTCAATTCACATCCTCCTCCGTTGTACAAAGGGACGAAACAAGTCGATCCAATTCAAATCACCGTAGCAAAACACCCCCGAGACCGCGATGACAGCGGCCGCGAACCCCTTGAAACCGCCGTCCCATGGAACAAGTCCGACAAGTAGTTCCCCAAGTCATCCGCCCCGAACCTCGCGAGCTTCCTCTCCGCCTCTTGGTCGCCCCTTGCAATCCCTAAGTACGCCTTGTAGAACTGCCCATATGCCGGCGCGAGCTTCCTCGCGATGGACACCTTGATCTCGTCCCTCAGCTTCCTGTCCGGCACGGTCCACGACGTCTGCTTACCGCACTCCTCCTTGAACGTGGTGCTGAACCTTTGGAGACACGCCCTCGCTGCCTCCAGCGACATCGCCGGGGAATCTCCTTTGGTCGCTGCCTCCGGCAGCGACGAGAGGACCTTGCTCCATGCTGCGGCCTCGTAGTTCGCCGCGTACTGCCTTACCTTTTCCACTTGCGTCTCGACCCACTCGTCCCCGAGCAGGTACTGGAGGTTGGTCGATCTCACCTTTTCCACTATGAAGTTCAAATTATTCGTGAGGAATAGGTAGGACAGTGAGACGTCCTTGTAGAGCTCGGCCTTGGCATCGAGCTTGCATAGCAAGACGAGCATTAGCCAAGCTAATCGGACCGAGACTGGTGACACCGGGAGATCGCCGGAGCTGGGGCCATCGAGGTACGACTCCGGCAGATTCAGATTTCCCGCTCGCGGATGGTCCATCAAGATGTCGGAGAGAGTCGCGCTGTAATTGGCGAGGGAAGTCGTGAATTCCATCACTGTTCGAGTCAGCGAGTGGATTCCACCGCCTTCGGGGAGAATTTTCGAAGAGTCCTTCTGAATTATGGCTTCGTAGTTCGACAGGATCATTTGGACTGTGTCACCGAGCTCTACCAGTGCAGAGAGGGCTTGTAACTTGACAGCCAATGTCGAATCGAACTTGAATATGGACTCGATATCGGGCCAAAGCTCGTAAGTCGCTTCGTAGAGTTCGATCAGCTTGAAAATTCTCTCCGGCGATCCTTTGATTCTCGCGATGATTTCCGGGATTCGGAACAGATGGATCGCCGCCTCTTTGGTGATCTCGGCAAAGCAGGATTCCCTGATCTTGCTGGATGCAGAGAAAACGTGGTCACAGAGGATCCTCTCTCCCTTGAAGAGCGTCTGCACTGCGACTTTCACTGCGTTCAGCCAGTTCTCGATTAGTTGCTCGCGCGAATTCCAGGTTAGTTTCTGAATTTGAGAAGACTTGGTCCGTTCGATCCCGAGCCGATATATGCCTTCGTCGACGGTCGACTTCCTCATGACCTTGTAGATCTTTATGCACTCCGTGCCATACCCTGCACTGACCATGCAATCAACCACGGATTTTACGTCCTCCATGGTGGATTCGGAAACTTTCTCCGTCTCGTTATCGGAAACGATTCCGTTTTCGTTTACGGAATCATCTGAACGGCGGGAAGACTTCCGGGAGACGGACTCGGGGCTGAGGTGCTCCCTGTTGGTGGAGACGATGTGGTACAGCTCTTTCTCGAGCCTTTTCATGGCAATCTGCGTGAGGCTCTGCGCAAGAACTAGCTTATCGGAGCTCGAATGGCTAGTGACAAGGAAGTGCATGACCTCGCGCAGGTCGTTGGTGGATTTGAGGAAGCTCCTGGCTTCTTCCCTGTCGTGGAGGAAGAGAGACGTGACTCGGGTGTATGAGGATTTCGAGTTCACGTCCCACTTCTTGATCACGGATTCGGCATTCCGTAAGATTTCCTCCGATGCCGAGTCGGAGAAGTTGGAAGAGGGCGCGATCTTCCGGTTGCGAGAAGCTCGGGATGAAGAAGAAGAAGAAGAAGAGGAGAGCGTTTTGGAAGAGGAGAGGGAGGTGGGCATGCCTTTTCTGGACACGAAGGCATTTTCTTCTGAAATCTCTGGCGTTCTCATCAACCCCATTTCTGGTTTGTCTATGTTGAATGTGTTTCAGAGAGAGAGAGAGAGAGAGAGAGAGAAGGGTTTGGGTTGATGGCTTCTGTTTGGAGGGGGATGTTATAGAGAAGAAGAGGAAGAACCATGGACAGGGGATGGGGTCGTCTGCTCTGGGTGGTTGGCGGTTTCGTTGGACTGTCATTTCGATATAGGAGAAGCGTTGACTGACCGAGTTTTGCAGGGTCCTCGGTCAAATTGGAAGAAACTTGGGTATCTCCTTGCAAAAATGACACAATGCTGTCTGAACTTTAATTCAACATGTAACGTAATCCCTAAACTTTTAATTTATTCAATATGGTATTTGAACTTTGGCCCAATATATAATGTGATCCCTGGACTTTTAAATTGTTTAATGTAAAACCTGGATTTTTTAGTACATGTTCAATTTAGTCCATGAAAATATTCAATGTTGTCCCCGAATTTAAATTAATTAAAAGAGAACATTGAACATTTTCATGTAGTTCATGAACTGAATTGAACATGTATCAAAAGTTCATCAGAGATCATATTGAATAAATTAACAATTTAGAAACCACATTGCACATTGGGATAAAGTTTAGTGATCACATTGAACAAATAAAAAGTTCAGGGACCACATCGCACATTGGGCCAAAGTTCAAGAAATCATTATCCCTATTTCCTTTGCTTTGCTCAAACATTCAGCATGTGAAGGCAAAGTTTTTAGATGGCATGCATTGAAAGATCATTGAGCTTGTCTGAAACCACCAGTAGGAAGGTGCGTGCGCTTGTCCTGAATAAGTCACGCATGAGGGCTTCTTCTAGATGGGTTGTTCGTTGCCAGAGCTTTTCAAATGCTAAAATTGAATTGAATCCAATCCCGTTTACTGGGCAAACCCCAGCGTTGCAGCAGCAATAGTTGATCCTGCAGCATTTTATCCGGGTGTAGACGAGACTTGGTTTCCTGGTCTGCTTTCAGATTGAGATATCTTTGTCCCCCAGGTCTTCCTCCATCGGGCAACATGTGCTCAAATCCATATGCGTGTGGAATGTATTGTGGAAGTGGCTGCAGAATGAAATTGGCAAAGTCGAGCCAAGCTGAAGCAACAAGACCGAGAGATGGCTAAGGAGGTGGGTATACTCGGATTTTATCCGCAGACCTGGACCAGGATTATGATGACTGGACTGGCTGACTTTGGAAGTCCCCATCCAATGAGAAGAACCCGGTATGTGTAAGTACGGTTTATTTAGCGGAACATGAATGATTCCGATTGCATTTTTCTAAATATGACCGCTTGGATCGTTTGAAGTAATTAATTAGTCAATAGAAAATATTTTCATTATCGACTACAATTTATGTTTAACTATTTTCGTGGACGATGAAAGTATTTTCCGTTCATTCATTTTTTCAAGTGATATAAACAATCGTTTTTAGAAAAATATTTTTCAAAATCATATATTTTTCACTAAACAAATGTGAGCCTTAATGTTTCCTTTTCTCTGTTCTTTTTTTTCCCCCTTTTATTTTGAGGTGTTTGACGTCATTCCATGGTCGATTAGACTTTTGCCAAGTGTAATAATCCCCACATCTGATCACTCTAGGTGATTACAGACTAGGAAGCACGGACACTCTTCAGGAGCCTCTGTGTCATGTCGGACACTGACACTCGTTCGACACTCTTTTTATTACTATTTATTTATTTGTGGATTTGAATCAAATTAATTTGATTGAAATATTCATAAAAATGATAATTTATCATATATATAAATATACACGTAATATATAACGTGTCGAAATTTTCATTTTTTGAGAAATGACGTGTCGGCGAGTCTTATCGTGTCGTGTTGTGTGTCGGTGCTACTTAGATTACAGATATGAAGTTATGTGTAACGGACTTAAAGAATCATTACTAATTAATCAAACTCGAGACCTCTCACTTTTGCAGCACGAGTCATATGACAACGCCCGATCAGGGCGCCGTTCCCTGACGGGTTATGACTCGCACGCAATGCCGATGGAAGTTCACCAATTCAAAAGGAAGCTTCTGTATTAGTTTCCATAAGTCTACTGATATCGTTATCATCGTTCATCCCTCCCCCCAAAATCTTCTCTTCATAAACGGCGGGCGGGTCAACGCACTACAGACATTCAAAGCTCGCCCCGGCATTAGAAAAATCGCCTCGGTCAACATCGCATACGCATCATGCGATCTTTGACCCAAAAAAAATAAAACATCGCGTCATGCGATCGATCTCGTCCGACAGCGTGCATGGGCCGCACGTAATCTTGCCGTCGTATTCTGCCACATCACAAGAACAAGAGTTTGTGGAACAAAACAGTTCGTTTGACCACACTTCTTATCCCGCGAGATTACGATTTACGACCAGACGAACTTCCTCCCGACGTTTTCTTTTACTTAATCTCTTTTTATGACGAGAAAGCTCGGCTAGTAAATCGCCTGGCTCGTGAGTAATCTCGATCCATGCTTGCATTGCTGCCCCCGGTATTGGTCGGAACATGCTCATGCGATAACAAGCGGGGACTATCGCTCTTCTAGAAAAGAAAAAGGAGGAATAAATATTAAGCTAATCAAAAGATTGATCTGAACAGGTCATTGCCCCCATGGTTTGCGCTAGATAACAATTGTTGAGATCATCTGTTCATATAATTTAGTCGTCTAGCCTGTAAGATATTGACTGCGTTAGCATTAATCCGTTTATATAATACTCTCCGATTTTAAGACGAACGTTAATGTTGACATTATCAAATGAAAACATGAAGAATTTCATGAGTGATATCATGCCGATGAATGTGATGATAACGTGAGGTTAACATGACATGTCGTTTTCATTCAGTCAAACCCAAAGCTAACTACAGTTGCACAGAGGAGGCTTAATGGGTCAATTACGTTAACCAAAACGGTGCGGCATGTCCTCCTTCCTTCGTGCATGTGGATTTTAATCATTAACGAAACAGCTCCTCATGTTCTACGCTCTTTACTTACGGGCCGCTCGATCGTTTCGTGCACATGCATGCCCCTCGTGCAGGCGGACGAAATCGACCACCTCGAGGATTACATCGAAAGCTTCTCTCTTCTCTCTCGAGCGGACGCGAGGGAGATTTCAGGGTGCTCCTGAAATAAGACATGTAGGTTAATGATACGACTCCGTGAGTTTCAGAAGATGTTATTGATAGCGGAAGGTGTCGTTACGGGCGTGAGATTCTCATGGTAATGCTCACACGAAGTAGCAACACTAGTCGCACCTCCCTCCTCACCTCTTTTTTTTTTCCAAAGTGATGTATAAGTATGCGATAGGCCGTGGATTTTTGAACGATGACATCTACTGATGGATTTCATATGATAATAGTGATTCGCTTGTTGAAATCGAAGGCAACTAAAGACGACACCAACCCATTTATGCTCTATTATAATAAAAAGAAGAGATATGTATACTAGAAGTCCTAAAACTTATCGCGAAAGTGCAATTAAGTCCTAAAATTTTCAAAAAGTGCAATCAAGTCATAAAACTTGTCAAATTGGTTCAATCAAGTCCTTCCGTTAACACTGTCAATTTGTCTGACAGAAAATGCTAACGTGACATTTTTAAATTAATTTCTCTCTCTTACATGGCATTTTTGTTATTTTCTTCTTTAAATCTTATTTAAATTGATTAAAAATTTAAATTATTTTAAAAAAAGAAAAGAAAAGAGAATAGTAGGGCCTTGCTGCTGGCCACCGCCACCCATCACAGGAGGGGCCGGTGGAAGTGGCCGGCCCTCGCCAGCCCCAAGCAAAGGCCGGATGTCGCCTAGATCTAGGTGCCCTCAACCCTAGATCTGGGCAAGCCTCACCAGCCCGAGGTGAGGCCTCGCCCAGGGTGGGCGATGGTCGCCTGCCCTAGGTGAGGACCGGCATCGCCCAGATCTGGATGCCCTCACCCAGGGTCGGTTCCTCTGGCAATGGGCGATGGCGCCCCACTGGCAAGGCTTAGTCTCTTTTTTTATTTCAGTTTTGTTTTTTTAAATAAAATTTTAGCCTTTTTTAGTTTAATTTATATAAGATTTGAATATGAAAATAATAAAAAGATGTCACGTAGGAGAGAGAAATTAATTTTAAAATGCCACGTTAATATTTTTTGTTAGACAAATTGAAAGTGTTAACGAAAAAACTTGATTGAACCAATTCAACAAGTTTTAGAATTTGATTACACATTTTGAAAATTGTAGGCTCTAATTGCACATTTCGGGACATGTTTTAGGATTTTTAGTGCACATACCTTTAGAAAGAATATAGATAGTTCAATACGTGAAAGAAAGACAAGGATGTGGAGATCTTAGAGATTGTGATCGACATGTATACTTATCGTACGAATTAAGGCTAGACAGAAATTTCCGAACAAACGGCTTTGTCTTGAGAAAGCCGCCCGAATGTTCTGAACGACGAGGAAACGCAATGACTTTTGACTTCGTTTACAAGCAAAATTTACTTCTGTTAACATCGCGCCAAAGTAAATTGTATGACGTGAAATAATGGGATGTTCAGAAAGGGAAATCTTTTTTCACCTTAATGTTTCCACTAAGTCACGTGGCAAAATCCATTTTAGATTGACCGCGATAACAAATTTTAACACTAACCGGTATGTCGATCGATATCTGAACATCGCATCATATGTCCTTGTTTTGGTCAGGACCGCTCCCCTTCGATTTTCCGATAAAATATGATGAGCAAATGATGTGTTGGTAAAACGCAAGCCCTTTTCAGATGTAACTCCAAGCTGTCTCTGAGATGATTAAATTGACTCTGAACTTGAAGGCTCACCGGTCCATATTAAAGTAGTCCACGAATGGGTTGCTGCATTAATTTCATCCGACTATTACTTGATCCACATGCCATGGTTGTTTGAAAATGAGGAATTTTTTTGTTTCTAGGGAGAAGAACGTGTTTAATGGGTCAGAAGTTTGGAACATGTGCACATGATGCGGTTCTTAGGTCTTTCCCTTTGAATAAGTCATTAAGAGGACCCAAGAACAACAAAAGGAAACCCCACGAATCTGCCCTTCTCGGGTCGACCTCCGACGGTTCAAGGCAATTTCTACTTAGTTATTGCTTCTCAAAATTTGGGAAAATTTAAAAAAGGGGCCCGAAGTGGAGTCATTTTTTCAAATAAAGACCCGAAGTAGACATTGTTTCAAATAAGGACCTGAATTACCCTCATTTTTTCAAATAAGGGCCCGAAATGAATCTTGTCTCAAATAAGAGCCTGAGGTGGCTATATCAGTCTCAAATAAAGACCTGACCTCACCGTCTAAAGGGTATTTTCGTCTTTTTACTTTTTTTTTTCTTTTTCTGTTTTTTTCTTTCCCTTTTACTTTTCCGTTTTTTTTTTCTCTCTCTTCCCTCCGCCAGCCTCAGGCAGAGGCCACCCTCGCCTGGGTAGACGAGGGTTGACCTCGCCGGCCTTAGGCGGTGGCCGCCCTCGCCTAGGCAGGCGAGGGTTGACCTCGCTGGCGTCAGTCGAGGGCTGCCCTTGTCGAATTTGGCAGGGGTCGCCCTTGCTCGCCCAGCCCAGGCAAGGGTCGCCCTCGTCTGCCTAGCCTAGGTGAGGTGACCCTCGCCCGACGCGGCTTGGGCAGCCCTCGCCCAATGCCGGTGAGGGCGGCCCTCGCCTGAGGCCGTTGCTAACCAGGCGCAGTGACCGTTGGGGAAGAAGAAAAAGGGAAAAGAAAAAAAGAAAAAGGAAAAGAAAAAGAAAGTAAAAAAAAATCAAAAAAATATACTTATAATTTTTTTTTACTACAATACCCTTTCTCCGACGACGGAATAGTCACCGGCCGGTCAAAGGTCCTTATTTGAGATGATTGGCCACTTCAGGCCTTTATATAAGAAAATGACTCCACTTCGAGCCTTTTTTTGGAATTTTCTCTCAAAATTTTAAACACAAGAGAACAAATAACTTTTTCTCAAAAACTATGATTGAATCGTCGGGAATTATACATGCCCGCGCATGTATATTTCAAAAAGCTTCAACCTTCTTCCGCATCACAAACTTTAAAAGCAGAGTTGCTTCAAAAGTAAGCCAGGCTTGCAAACGTCGACATACGGAAAACGAAAGCTCAGGTCGCGGCCCGATCAACACTCAAATTACTCTAATCCACTTGTTGAAGTGGGATTTGCGCAATTTGTTGGCATGAGTCCAGCAAGCCAGTCAGTCTACTCTCGTGCTAGAGCAACAGCTATTTCAGTTCAAGCGGAATCAGGTCAAGAAAAGAAAGGCTTTAAATCCGTCCCAGCAGATAGAGCTAGAGGAAGTAAGTCAGCATGTCATTTGAAGTGAAAGCCGTAGGTTCCCCGAGCTATCACGATAAGTAAGGTAATGATCCGACTCGCAGACCTAATATCCACAAGTGGCAAGACAATTAACCAGCATTCGTATCTAGTAAAGCATCCCTTGCTCTGCTCCTCTCTCCACAAAACCGCAAAATGGGTGGGTTCAGCATGGTTTCGATTTGACCACAGCCGTGCCAAGGCACCTACCCTTCGAGGCCAATGTCGAGACCCTACCATGATCATGCCTATAGGACAATAAGGCGACGAAACCTGAAATTCATTAACTTTTCTTTCTATCACAATAACCTGTTGTCCCACGCCACCGCTTACCTACCTTTGATCACATATTTAAGGCACGACCTAAAACTTGTACCCAACTCGGAGAGATTCCATCAAAACAAAGCAAGAGAATAGCACTACCAGGTATTCTAGTTTCAGGAGAGGCAGTAACAGTTTGAAAGACAACAAAATCACTCGCTCGCTGGATATTGGTCAAACAAGAAGAAATTAAGAGTTGGACAGAAGCAAAAATTACACTATGAGAGGATATAGAACTGCAAAATTGCATGGTAAGTGCCGCCTACGCCTTGATAGCATATTTCCTCACGGGGAAGTACATTTCTCTCTTCTTCTCCCGTTCCGTCTTCAAAGACGCCTGGTTGGAAAAAAATAAATTAAAAGTTGAAGATATGCTCTAAATAAAAACATAGAAACATCACAAATGAAAGAGAAACTAGCAAATCGTCATAGAACGCGAGCATGAGAAGCTAGCAAATCATTGAAGACATGCTGGGTAATCTAAGCTAGAGGACAGTGGAAAAAAAAGGAAAAGAAATAAAATAGAAAGAAAAGTGAATGGAAACTGTCATTTACTTCTCCTGTTTGAGTGTGCATAGAAGGGAAATGATGTGGATGGAAATAAAGTGATTGAATAACATAGACTATATGCTATTCGCAACTAATTTTAGCCAATGGAATGATGTGATTACTTCTTCTCTTTTTTCTTTTCCTTCCACTCCCTTTCTCTTCTTTTCTCTTATTGCATCCCTCCCAACTTACAATACCCAACATATGTGAGTTACCATTTCACGAGTCACGTCAACTCCTTCCACTTCCTCAATCCAAACACAACGAAGATACCATCAATCCCATCTGGACAAATTCGCTCACTCGGCATTTTGCAAACCAATTCCGAAGTGTTTCTAATTAAAGTAGAAAGTAGAAACAGTGCATAACCTGGTGCTTGGTAAGCCTTCTTCGGATGGCTCTGGTCTTTTTTGGACGCAGATCGAGCGGCAAGTACTTCTTATTCTTGTAGACCTCCCTCAATACAGCCTTCTGCTTCTGCGAGATCACAGTCAACACCTGTGCAATCGACAGCCTCACCACCTTTCTGCACCATGAAACGCAAAAGTCATATGAAGCCACAAGGACAGAGCAAGAACCCTAGATAACCCCCGATCAAACAAAAGCTTCCAAGACACTCGAGGCACACATCATTCAACTAAATGAGAGAATTACTCCCTCTATAGAAACACAATCAAAAGGACAAACACCTATCTCCTTATATTGATATCAGATACATCCTATCTCCTAATAACATCATCCACCTAAGAGACACATCCAAACAGGGTACCTCGCAAACCACATTGTAACTCAGAAACAAACAATGTCCAGTGAACCATTCACAATAAAATGCTGCCGAGAGCGCTAATTCATCTCCAGAACAGTTTTCAAATTCAATCAAGTAACCCTCAGCTCACAAATCAAAGCTCTAAAGCAAATTTAGACCATCCATAGATACAATGTCCTAAAACCGCCTACTCATTGCGGAACCAAAGAAACCCACCAATAATTCAAACTACTGATCGTTTCACCGGGACAATCACACTCTTGAACAGAGCCATACAACACACGATCGCACATACGTAGACCCATGGACTTACATCTTGGAGAGCTTGTTCGGCGCGCCTCCCGTGACCTTGGCGACGCGGAGGAGGGCGAGCTCGGCCTTGAGCTCCTTCAGCTGGATCAGCAGATCCGCCTTCGACTTCTGTCGCAGCTCGTGAACCTTGATCCTCGCTTCACATTGAAAGAAGAATGAAAGAAAGATCAGCAAGAGCTAGCAAATCAGAGCGGGTTTCTCTCCCTCGAAGTGACGGAACCGAGCATGAGGGACGATCGTTACCCATTGCTATTGCTTCGCCTGAGCTTCAATGGCGGCCGGCCTCTCTGCGACGGTGAGCGAAAATGGGTGGGGAGGGTGATGGAGTCGCTAGGGTTTGCCAATATATACGGCGATGACCTGTATTGGTTGGTTGGGCCTCAGGAACGCAATCGAAGCCGCCATAGCATTTTGGGCTAAGTAAAGCCCATCGGGCCTGATAAATTACATCTTATTGGGCTTAAGACCCGTTTCTTTTTATTATTATTATTATTATTATTCTTTTTCCCCTTAACTTTGCCCCAATGTGCAATGTGATCTCTGAACTTTTAATTTATTCAGTATGGTTCTTAAGCCGTAACCCAATGTGCAATGTGGTCCCTCAACTTTCAATTTGTTTAATGTGGTCCATGGACTTTTAAAACACGTTCAGTTTAGTCCCTGAACTTTGTAAAAATGTTCAATGTTGTCCCCGAACTTAAATTTATGAAAGGACAACATTGAATATTTTCATCTAGTTCATGGACTAAGTTGAACATCTACCAAAATTTTATGGACCACATTGAACAAATTAAAAGCTCAGGAACCACATTGCACATCGAGCTAAAGTTTAGACCACATTGAACAAATTGAAAGTTCAGTGACCACATTGCACATTGACCCAAAGTTCAGGGACTATTTATGTCATTATCCATTTTTCTTTTTGCCTTACATTTGCCAATGTTAGAAAAAGATGATGGCTAAAAAAACACATTATATAGAATAATGGTTTTTGGATGTACCCAAAACTTGGTGGATGGCCATATGAATAATTATCTTGGAAAAATTGAGAATCAGGGGTAAAAAAATTACCAGAAAATTAATCTAATCAGAATTATGTAAGGTAGCTTAGAAGAATTAATTCGTATAAACGAGGGGTATTTAATGTAGCACTTGCTAGATTACATAGATGCAACTCCAAGTTGGACACGCAATATATGCACTGGAGTATCTATGGTCATGTTAGTAATCACTAGTTAGAATGAAATCCCGAATAATGTAATTTATCGATAGATATCCTTACATTAAATAAGCGGATCCGATCGTACAAATCAAGAAGTGATGTGCGATGCACGATGAATCCAACAAGCAGGGGACACGGTCCATAGGATTTGCTCGTTATAATTGGTTGAATTGTCACATTGATAATCAAACTAAACCTACCAACTCTAAGTGCATCATGAATTACCCCTTTTATTATAATTGGAATCACATTCATCATTGAAAAAAATAATAATAAATGGGGCCAAGATATGATTTAGGAAAGAATGGAATTAATCACGTGATTGGGCTTAGCTACCTACTATGTTTGCCTCCCGTGGGTTCTCTCCCTCACCATTATTGCTTTGTATATGTTGAGAAATCGAAAGCTCAACCAATCACGGCCAGTTTTATAACCAGGCAAAGCACCCACACTTACAATTACCCATCTTGCACATCACGGCATGGATTTCGCCGAATCTCGCAAGATCAAAAGTCGTCATTGAAAACGATGCTTCGTAGAGTATTTTGGTAAAGAAAGCGACGATTTCTAGGGTTTTTCTCTTTACGGTTAAACGGAAAGAAGTGATCACAGCTAGTAGGGGAGGCAATGTTGGTGCAAATGGAGCATTGTGAGAGATAAAGGGTAGTTGATCCTGATCAATGTTGGCATTAATTAGTAGAAAATGTTGCAATGAGAACTGAGAAGCCCCTTAAGTCTCTTAAAAAGCTCTAAACTTATTGCATTTGTGCTAATTCAACTCTATAACTTTTAATTTGACCAATCGAGTCTTAAACATTTTGATAATTTGTCAATTCAGTCTATTCGACCAATTTGGACCGAAAATCACTGACGTGGACACTAGTCATCTTACATGGCACGACCAACACTAACGTGTATAATTTTAATTTTTTTTGAATTTTAATTTTATTTTATATCTTTTCTTTTCTTTTCTTTTTCCTTCTTCCTCTACTGGTCGTGTGGGCCTCGGCAATGGCAAGTGAGGGTTGCTCTCGCTGGATCTAGCGGGGGCCGACCATGCCAGAGGTTGGTGAAGTCAAGTTTTGCCCGAAACTAGCAAGGCCAACCCTTGCTGGCGACCGGTGGAGGAAGAAAGGAAAAAGAAAAGCAAAGAATAAAAGAAAAAATTCAATTTTTTTTTAGAAATTACAAAAAATGTCAACGTCAGCGTTAGTCGTGCCACGTAGGATGGCCGGTATCCACGTTAACGATTTCCGGTCAAAATTAGCCAGAATGACTATATTGGCAAATCGTCAAAATGTTTAGAACTAAATCGGCTAAACTGAAAGGTTTATGACTGAATTAGCACAAGTGCAATAGATTTAAGACTTTTTTGGTAATTTTCTTCCCCTTAAAATCAATTAGCTAGATTAAAGTTATATTTTTAATTAGAAAATTACAACCGGTTAGAGCCTACTATATATAACCTTTCCGTGATTGGCAATGGATTGCAAATCCTCTTATCGCACTCACCGCGTTTTTATTTACCAAAGTATCATATTCTGTCGGAGTTTGGTGGTGATATGCCAACTTTCACTAGAAGTGCAAAGAGAAATTACGAAGCCATGGAAAGAGTAGTAATTGAATTGGGAATTCAACGAAGGAATTATCAGCCGCTATTTTCACAAGATATATACATAGCCCCGTAGAATCCCCCCGGCTGATCGATCCTCTCATTCTCTCCCTACTTGTTTCTTTTATAAAAGAAAAAAATTTCACTTTATTTTGCTTTCCCCCCCTAATTTTTGGCCCTTTTTCGTTTTGTTAATTTTTGCCTTTTTACCACGTGGGGCTTACTTAGTGCCACATCAGGTCACGTGGTCTTGAAATATATATGAAAAGCCACGTCAATATTTCAGTCAAATTGAATGGGAGTTAAGGAAAGCACTCGAGTGATCAATAATTTTAGTTTTTGGAAAGTATCATGATCATCCAATAATAATGGTTTCCATTTTTTCAAATGAACGATTTGAAGAACTATTGATTCTAACAATTGATTGCAGAGTTGATCTCTAAGATTTTCATAAATACTGTTTGTCGAAAAGAAACCCGCAATTATTTTTTTTAATTCCCGAGACTTCTTTCCTTTGGTTCTATGTAAAAATTGAGTTACGCGAATTGTCCAACTTGACTAAAAGAAAATGCTGATGTGACTTCTTTTAATATTTTTTCTCTCCTACGTGGTAATGACGTGCCTAAAACATGAAACATAAAACTAAAACTATATCGTTTTGGTCCAAATCTAAGCTTTAATACAAATTTTATTTAAATTAAATTTAAAAATAAGCTGAATTTAAAAAAACAAAAAAAAGGTTTGAGAACCAGGGGGTGAGGGTCATCAGGCCCCGACCAATGGCTAATGACCCTTGCTGACCGCAGGTGAGGGTTGCGGCCCTTGCCCGGGTCTAGCCGAGGGCCGCCACTAGTGGAGGTTGGCCACCAATGGCAACCCTCGGTGAGGGCTGGCGACCCCCGTTGGCCATCCCCCATCCTCGCTGGCCCTTGCCAGCAATGGTGCGGTGGCGGCGGTGACGGCCGTGCAAGCCCTCACCACCTGGTTCTCAACCCTTCATTTTTTATATTAAAAATATGATTTTGACTAAAACGGCGCCGTTTTAGCCATTTCATTACCACGTGGAAAAGAGAAAATATTTTTAAAAAAATCACGTTAGCATTTTCGTCAGCCAAGTTGGACGGAGTTAACGGAAGACTCGATTATATCGATTTAATAAGTTTTTGAACTTGATTATATATTTTACAAGTTTTAAGATTTAATTTCATTATCGTGATAAGGTTCAGGACTTCCAGTGCACTTATCTTTATATTTTACAGATTCTTCGTAGTTGTTAGACACGCGAATCGATACTCGTGATACCAAGTTCCTTTTCCTAATATTTTGTCAAGCGTGTCACTGTTAATCACGCAATTTGTTGACTGCCCAATGAGAAGAATTTTCAAACCGTTGACGGACCACTCATTATGAATCTCTCTTTTTTAATTATCCTTGTCCTTTTTGGCCGTCAAGAATGGGGGAGTTGGAAGATTGCAAGCGATGATCTCATGAAAAGCAATTTAAATGATATAAATCTATTCTACAGTTGACTCGTTCCTTAGGTAGCGGTCCTAATTTACCACATAAAATCCGAAAGAAACTCAATAAAAGAAAAAATCCGAACGATTAATTATTCTGCTCACGCTACTTTATACTAAGAACCGACACGTATAAGCTGACAAACCCTAGAACGTGACATGATACTCATCAGCAAGCAAACGAAGCTTCAATAAAGACGTGATGGCAAATAAAAGGAAATAGGATCTCATCGGGACCATTCAAGCACGGCAGATTACTCAAAATGATTTGGAGACTTTAATGATATTTAACCTTTACGCTAGAGCTGACCCTTTGAACTGTTCCTTCACGAAATTAAACATCTATTTTGGCCTCATTCCAAAATTTTCTGGGCGTCTATGAAAGGGACAAATGGCAAATCGTAACGATTTAAGTTTTTTCGCACTGCTTCAACAAAATAAGCAGCTGAAAAATAAGAAGTTATGCTCATTCTCATCTCCTTTCGTCATCTAACAGGCGTATTGATGTGCGATAATTACGACTTTAAAGAGATAGATATCCCCCAATGGATTAACCATCTCTATTAAGGTAATTTTTTGTAATTTTATCGGGAAATGAATGGACATTTTTCTTGGATAATTATCGGGGAAGGAATGAATGAGGGCCAGAATGATCATGTGGAGGTGGTTGCTTGAAGGAATAGGGTGAGTCCAAAATTTGGGTGAGTCCGAAATTTTTCTATGTATGGACAAAACATTGAACCGAGATAAAAAGGAAGGTCGCACCACAAAACCTTTGATCCAAAAAGCAGGTAATTTAAGTATTCTTAATTAGCATGAAGGTTTTGATAAAAAAAAAAAAAAATTAGCATGAAGGCAGTGATGAAGTTTCCAACTACAGACAAAACGAAGGGGACAGATACCCATATTCAGTGTCATATTTCTTCAACTTATTCTCCTCCTTATGTTGCAGAGAGTCCATGCAAAAAGTAGCGGTCTTATCTCCTTCCACAGCCTCTCACTTGTGATACACATAATCACAGATAATCTCTCCTTATTTTTCTGTGTTCGCCAAGACATCATCTTCAGATTTTATTGATTCTCTTGCTTTTCTGGGGTTCACTTCACATATCATCTTCAGATTTTGGTTGCATGGTGTGTTTCTTTCTGACCATCCCTTTTTCCTCTCTCTGATAACCCTTTTCTTTTCACTTTTCCTTTTTTTTTTTTTTGACACGGTGCTTGATTTCCATCTGCAGGAGCCTGAAGCTGAAAACATCAACTATGAGGAGGTTTCTCTCACTCTCTACATTTAAAAGATATGAAAATCTTGTATTTTTTGCTTTATTATTGAACTGTTTTTTTCTTTCGTGGTTAATATTGCAGGATTACATAACGAATTCCAGAGGGCTGAAGCTGTTCACATGCAGTTGGCTTCCTCGGGACCGAGAGCCGAAAGCTCTGATCTTTATTTGCCATGGATATGGCATGGAATGCAGCATCACCATGAGGAGTCAGTGCCATTGCTTCTTTCTGAAGATCCTATACGATTTTCTTAAAAAACCCTCGTTGAGCTACTTGTACATACGGTTGATATGTCTTCATCATTTTTCGTATTTTAATTGGTTTGATCAGGCACCGCGGTCCGGTTGGTGAACGTGGGTTACGCTGTTTACGGGATCGATTACGAAGGCCATGGGAAATCGGATGGATTGATGGCCTTCATCGACAACTTCGACGATCTCGTGGATGACTGCTCAACTCATTTTACCAGCATCTCTGGTAATCAAACCTCAATACTTTTGTTCCCTCTCTGGCCGATACGAAATTAATGGCCAAATAATCACGCACCTTCCAGACTCCAACTCTTGCCCCTGCTCATGCTATTTTCCCCTTTTTAATTTACATTTTTGTGACCTTTTGTTGGTGTTCATTCGCAGAAAGAAAAGAGAATAAGGAGAAGATGAGGTACCTGATGGGAGAGTCCATGGGAGGAGCAGTTGCCCTTCTTTTGCACAGAAAGAAACCAGAATTTTGGGATGGAGCTGTCCTGGTTGCTCCCATGTGTAAGGTGAGCATGCACACACGTCTTTGCCTTATTCGCTTTCACATACGTTGAATTTGACATATAACCTGATCTCACATCGCTTGTTTCCGAAACTTATTAGAATATCAATACATCTATGTATCCTCTCCTTCATACAATTTGGTCGGAATGATAAATCATTTACATCATATGTTTTTTTTTTCCATTTTTCCTGTATTTCTTTTGAGACGAAAGAAACTTCTTTGTTGGTATTGAGCCAGTTCAGAGTTTCATGTCGCCCTCAGTGGGTTGGTTTAGTAAGTATAAAGATTGTCATTTCATTTAGCTTCAGATCAAGTGTTTATTCTATTCTTGCAACTTCGGAGAGAGGAAAGACCCACGAAGAATATTCATCTGATTGGAAGTCCATAAAGTGAGACCATAGTGCTGTTAGTGTTAGGTATTCATGCACCAACCAGCTAAAGTCAGCTCTGAGTAATGTGTTCAATGACTCAGAACCAACGCGCGTCATGCGCATTTCGTTAATGGATTTGAGTAGTGCAATTCATAAATGAAAGTTTGAGTGGTTATTTATTTATTTTTTTAGGCAGTGAGTAGTTTTGAATTTAACAGTAGCGGGTACTTTTCTGTTTTTGGAAGGTTTTACAATTCTAGACTTTGAAAAAAAAAATCGATAAGAAGGAAATTAAAGGGGAGACTAAACGGAAACATTTCCTTCGTAGACAATGCAAGGGTAAATTTGAAATGCTAAAAGTGAGATAAAAAGCACTCGCGGCTTTATTATTAAATTAGTGTCGGGGTGCGCGCATGGTGAGTTTCTATGAGAAGAGCAATGCTACTTCTATCTACGAGGAAGTGGATGAAATGAGAAGTTATAAGAAAAGTGCCGATTATATTTTTGTTTATTTTTTCCTTCTATTATTTAATATAGGAATAATTTGGGAATAGATCCATCTTCTTTCTTTGTCGGTGGAGGCAGTATTGAAAATAAAAAATTGCTTAAATATGAAGAATAGAACGCACCAACTTCGGAGTTTGGAGATTAATTAGGATGCATTTGTTTCACTGAAAAGTTCATAATAAAGGAAAATATTTTTCATGCAAATCATTTTCAAGGAAAATAATTGGATTTATTTGTTTAGTAGTTTAAGGAAAGTGATTTCCTTCTTGTCAAAGGAGAAGTCATTTTCCCTTAATCTAAACTTATTGTTTTCAGTCCATGGAAAACTTTCTAAACACTAAAAAGTCGAAAAATAATTTTTCGAAAATATTTTTCATTCAAACAAATGACCGTTAGCTATTATATTTTGATTCCTGAACTGGGTCTCAAAGGGCCAAGACATATTCTCCTAAGAACAGTTCATTTGTTCATATTATCACGTCAATATCGGGAGAAATTAAATCAATTCATCATTTGAATCTATATCTTAACATAAGCTGTTCGGATACTCACTCATCAATTCATGTCTTCCTACTTAATACATGGAATCAAGGTAAAGGTACTTGCACAGATGTGTGTGCATAAGTGTTTTTAAGAACTTGTGCTGTTTTTGATCTGCAATTTCTGTTTCAGATCGCCGACGATGCAAAGCCACCGCCACTCGTGATCAATATACTAACTAAACTGACCAATGTCATCCCAACCTGGAAGATTATTCCGACCCCAAGCATCATCGATCTCGCTTTCAAAGTCCCTGAAGTAAGACAACAGGTACATTCCTATCACAAGCATTTATGACTGTACACTCACCATGAAGTAATCATCGATGATCAATTTGTCAATGTTGATTCTGGCTACTTTTGACATTGAACTAGTTAGCACGATCTACTCTCATTTTATGATTGTGCAACTTCTGTGAGAAGTGAAGATCAGTCAGCAGACCACCGAACATGAATTAGATGACAGATATTTATAAATGGTGACCGACTGTGCAACTTTTGGCAACAGGTGAGAGCAAACAAGTATTGCTACAAAGGACGGCCTCGGCTGAAAACGGGCTTCGAATGTCTGAGGATCAGCTTGGAATTGGAGAAGAGGCTTAACGAGGTTCCGCAGCATAGTTCCCTCCTGTCTGTCAATATATTTTCTCTTTCCTCTCAACAAATCAATCGGCCGCTGTCAAGCACAAAAAACGTGTTTAAACAATCTTTTGATTCCAATGCTACACGGTGTTTGTTGTCCTGCTCACTGAAAACATCTCATTTTCACTTGATAGGTCTCGTTGCCATTCATAGTTCTCCATGGGGAAGAAGACAAAGTGACGGATAAATCCGTGAGCAAGCAACTCTATGACTCGGCTTTTAGCTCGGACAAGACATTCAAATTGTATCCAGGCATGTGGCATGGTTTGCTGTACGGAGAGCCACTGGAGAATATTGAAATCGTCTTCAACGACATCTTAGGATGGTTGGATAAGAGAACTTCACTAGGGAATTCGAGGCTGGAGAGAGAACTGAAAGAAGAGAATGACCCGCAACCAAAGGATACATAGAACTCAGAGAGGCTGAGCGGTATAAAAATTAGATAGCGCAGAGTCATGGTGATAATTTGCTTGCGAAATGCAACTTTAAGAGGGTTCTCATTGGGGGAGTGATGAAGTTCGCTTGCCTTTCTTAAAGGCAATCAACTTAGGACTGGTGTGCTTCATCAGGGAAGAGGACACGTCGCCGAAGAAGCGAGCTAGACAGCTCATAATAATGCAGCTGCAGCTGCAGATTATTCATGCCATCGAGAGCGATCTAATGCGAATTTCTGAACTAGTGCACCGCCTGCCATGATAGATTCTTGCTGGATATTATCTAATATTTTTTCCAACAACTCCATGTCAAAGAAATCATTCTTTGTGATTGTCCACAAGTCATGCCTGAACTAAGAGTTTCGTTTTCTCCAGAATAATATCATCTTTTCTGTAACCATTAGCCTGTTTCTAAGCATCGAAACTTGCATCCCTACCGTTTTTCATGTACACGTGTTGGCGATTCTCAGTTGATCTCGGATGCTTTGGAAGTAGAAATACACATACTACGACCTAGGTGACCGTGAGGAATTCGAAACATGAAAGATGCAATAACGCCTGCCTTGAGTTCCAAAGAAATCAATGGCCAAAAAGGGTTTTCATAGGAAAGCAGATAGCGCACTAATAGTGGCTTGACATATATCAGCAATTCGCCTGAATTCGACAATTTGCAACTAGAATCGACCCTCAAGATTTCTCTAAGCTGTTAAAATTCCCCGAAAATTTGCATCATCTTCACGTTTCAATGAGAACAAAAGAAGGCCACCAACTGCCATCTCAAAGACTTAACAACTCCAACACAACCAAACCAAAACCCAACATCTGCTTCCCCCCTTATAAGAAGTAGCAGACACAGATTAAAATCCCAGTGATTCTCCCTCAATGGGCAATGCCAAGAACACCGTCACCCTAACATTGACACTCCTGGTCATCATCATCTTTACCGTCATAGACCAGTCATCATCGGCCCGAACCCTGGGCAAACCCGCCCCAAATCACCACCAAAGCCATCACACTGTCACATTCCTCATGAGAAATGTCCTGAGCAACATTTCTACCTCGAGACCGGCCACAGGTAAGGTCCCCAACAACCAACTCCCCTTCCCAAAGCCACTAGGCCTTTTCCCTCCCAGCAAGGGCATTCCATTAACCCAGCCTAACAACCCTCCAGACCCAGTGGTCGCCGGCTCGTCCACTGGAACACTCAACCTGGCTGGCACGGGCTTGTCATTTCCGGCCATCGCCACCCTTCAAGAATTGGAACTCAGCAGCGTAACAGAGATTAATGAGTACTTATTTGAAGGGTTGGTTTCCAGTTCCCGGGTGATCGGAAAAGCGCAAGGAGTGCATGTTGCCAGCTCGGAGGACGGAACCAGCCACATGATGGCAATGACTGCATATTTCGCGGGCAATGAGTTGAAGGATGGACTGAGGTTCTTTGGGGTTCATCGAACAGATGTCTTGGAGTCTCATATCGCGGTCATTGGGGGTACTGGATTGTATAATGGTGCAAATGGCTATGCTAGTGTCAAGTTCATTGATGGTGGATATAACATTAGCGGGGAAGATACAAGAGAAAGCATGTACCTTCTGTTCACAGTTTACCTTAGCTAGTGAAACATTGTTAACACTAAGATATATATGTATTCAAATTCTATTCTCTCACCTGGAAGAACAATTTTTACCCACTCCCCTATAATCTATTAGGGTTGGACCTTGCAAGAGATTTTTCTTATTCAAGTCTTAAGATGTTGGGCTGTTGTTTCACGATCTACATTCAAGTCTATGAGTTCGTCAACCATCAAAGTTATCTCTTAAAAGCCTGATGTCTTCCATTCCATCTCTCTATTCTCTTTACCGAATGTCTCTGTGATCGGAGACAATGATCATTCAAACTGCGCAAAGTGAGATTAAGATCAGGAAACAGAATCAATGGCAGTGATTTGAAATGTCAGAGCAGTAGGCTATAGCACTTCTGGCCAATGAAATGGATAATCACACTCCTGAAGCTGAATTATACAAAGAAAGAGGTGAAAAGGAAGACAAATGTGAAACCGCATGCTGCAATTATACATGTATTAGTTGAAAAAAACAATGAACATATTCTCAGCATTACTTCTGCATCTTGATATGTTGGACCAGTGCCTTAAGAACACCTACAAGCTGACATATTATATGATTCGAAAGTGGCAAACCAGATATACGGTTGGACCTTTTGCTGAGCTGGTTTTAACATGTTTTTGTCGATCATTGTCCAAGTTCTAAGGACTCGGTACAGTTTAAATGGAGATTTGAAGGATCCAACATTAAGAAGATAATAATGCAGCAGTCATTAACAATGCTAAAGCGAACTGATGAAATTTTGCCACATGACATTCACATTGTTAGGACTAATCCTCTCCAAAGACGTTCAACTTGAACAGGCGAGTTTGCTTCATGCAGAACTAAAAATCAAAATTTAATCTTAACAATTCACAACTGTCTGCCAAATGTACCTTTTCCATCAAAAACTGCTGCCGGTAGACCAAAAAAATGTGGTTCGTGAAGTATAGAGTTGTTTTGATAACATAAATATGAAGTTTGAGAGATTGAAATTGAATCAGCTAAGATCATCACTTGTTTGAGTGTAACAGGACATCCCATTTCTTAATTTGAGGCTAGATGATTGAGCTTGCGAGCTGAATTTCAGGACCAAATACTTGATGAAAAACATTGAATAAGAAGGCGAATTTTCAGTATATTAAAATCAAGAGAAGACCTACTCCAAGATTAAGCATGGTTTATTAGGTTTTGTATGAGCTTTAGGTCATCAAGACCAACCTCACCAATCTCCATTCGAACAAGTGAGGAATCAACTACTCCAACTCAACAGCTCCACTTTTTCACTAAGAGACTTAACTCATCAAAGCTATAAATACACTTCCACTTGCAACACACTAGTCCAACAGGTCACCAGAGGACAAGCCCATTCCACAATTCACAAGTCACCTCCCACAATGGCCAAAGTTTCACTTCTCACCCCTCACACACTCATTTGCCTTTTGCTCCTAGCCATTGCCATCGGATGCGTCAGCTCAGCCAGGATCCTTGATGAGGCGGGCCTGCCAATCCAAATTGCTGATGCTTCGACACAATCTGGCCCAACTGGTACATTGCCAAGTGGCCAACTCCTGGATGCCACTGTTGCAGACCCACCACTACCTGACGCCTCCGATGCCACAGTGGCGCCAGTGGCGGCATCCACCAATGATGAAGCTGAGGACCCGCCAATCCCAGACACGCCTGTCACTGCTGTGGTGCCAACAGCAGGCCCTGTCCCGACCCTGCCTGGTGGCCCAGCCCCGATCACAACTGCCGCGGCTAGTGCAGTAGTGGCGAAGCCTGGCACAGCACAGCCCCAATTGTCCTTCTTCATGCATGACATCATAGGAGGATCGCACCCGTCAGCCAGGGTAGTGACGGGTGTCATTGCCAACTCCGAGATAAGCGCCGTCCCCTTCTCCAAGCCCAATAACAATATCTTCCCAATGAACGGAGGCGTCCCTATCGTCAATGGTGTCGGCAACATCAATGGCATTGGCAACCTCAATGGCATAATCAACAACAACAACCTCCCGTTCCTCACTGGCCTAAGCAGTGCGCAGGCGAGCACCGTGATACAGAACGCAGGTAATAACGACCATGTTGCAGGCGGCAACAACCAGCCCTTCGTCACGGCAGGGCAGCTCCCAGCGGGGGCCACACTCCAGCAGCTCATGTTTGGCTCGATCACCGTGTTCGATGACGAGCTGACCGAGGGGCACGAGCTGGGGTCTGCTGTGATCGGCAAGGCGCAGGGCTTTTATTTGGCCAACTTGTTGGATGGCACGAGCCAGACGATCGCTGTGACCGTGATGCTGCACAGTAGTGCTAGTGGCGATCACGAGATCGAGGACACTATCAGCTTCTTCGCGGTGCATCGGACGGCTTCGCCCGAATCTCAGGTTGCAATCGTTGGCGGGACGGGGAAGTACGAGCACGCCAAGGGCTACACCACCGTTGAGACGTTTCATCAGGAAAATCAACATATCACCGATGGCGTGGATACAATTCTTCAGTTTAGTGTGTATCTGTCTGAGTAAATGTGTCACATACAATATGTGATGAATTTGATCAAGGAGTTGGGCCGAGTGTACGAGTCTTTGAGGGTCCCATTCTCTGCAGATTTCAGTTAAATGCCCGTAGAAGCATTTAAATCTGAAGGATGATGACTTCGATGTTATGTGAATCTCTTCCTTGTTGTGACGGATTCGAGAATCTATGTGATGGGCTGATTTCACTGATGTAATGTAATAGTGGGAGTGAATTCTCCCTTATCCGCACCTCAATTCGTGATAACAATTGCAAATAAAAGATCATGTTATCATCAGTGTGTGCTGTATACTGTACACAACGAAGAGGATGATGTGTCGACTTGATGATTTCGATTTACAAGAGCCGGTCCGGACGTCTTCTTCTAAATTATTCACGATTGCGGAAACAGAGCAAAACGGAAGCTTCCAGCTCCACCATCATCATTTGATGCTAAGTCTGTAAATATTCTTGACCTCTCTTGCTCACTCTTGAACTAAATTGACAAGCAGTTTCTCAACTCAGCTCTGCCATGGATGGATCCTTTTCTCTGTCTCTCTCTCCCTCCCCTTCCACCGCATTGCTCATTTCGAAGTATAGAGAAGTCGAGTCTGACCGACTCTTTTTTGTTTTTTTTTTTTCAAGTCTTTAACTCCAGCTGAAATTGCCTTACCTTAGATGATATTTCCACCACAGCAGAATCAAAGAATTCCTTTTTCCCAAGATAATGTTGAAGGACCCACAACTTTTCTCCGTGATCTTGAGCCTAAAGCAGAGAGCCTTTTCCCAGTGGAAGGTGGGACCATCAGGATATGCTTGTCGATGGAACTTTTGGGATGATGCTGAGGCATTCTCAGGACTTGCAAATCATATACAAAGAGCTTCTCCACTAGAAATCATGTGGGCTTCAAAATTTGAATGCGTTTCAGGGTCATCAAAACCGATCCACACTATGCGCTGCGCTTTCTGCAAGGCGATAAGACAACACTCGGAACATTCCTCTATTCAATTTCATTGAAGAAGGGACTGATCCAAGGGTCAGAGCCTTTGTATATATGCCCTCCTCCAGCACAGAGTCTTCCCAATTCAAAGCCCATCTAGCACCAGTCACCTCAATAACCCGTGTCCGGCTCAACACCCGCGTTCGACAATGTTCCGACCGAGGGGGCCTGAGCCGGGGTCCAATTTGCTCGGGAGAGCACGATGCTTTTTACTTGGCCGGCTCGGTGGACGGTACAGCCCAACAATATCAGTGACCGCGACATTGTGATAATGTCTCGGTCTCGTTTTCCGGACCACTTTTCGAGCATCTCGATCAGTTCACCTCCCGAGATTATATAGTTCCACGCGGCACTTCCATTGTTTTTGGATAGCAGGACTATACTGGCAACATCAACGCTAAACATTTTGGCGGGCTACACGAATTTGCTTTGATTGTTTAATTGGACTAGAACATCTCATCTTGGCCCATAACATATACAGATGTACTATTATAGAAAAAGAAAAGCAACTCATATTTTTAAGCGATCGTAATTTCTTTTTTTTTCCCCCTAACTTATCCTCGATTGGTTATTTAATTAGAATTTATCAACGGAAAAAAATTTAACCTTTTTTTTTTATCTCACGCGTAGTATGATAAATTCGAATCTTATCTATCTTACAATCTTACGAATTGTACACGTACGCGTGAAAAAAGAAAATCGTTTCAAGAAAATTCAGTAATTAAGAGTCGAACAATAGAATCTCCGCGTGTCTTCAAACTTTTTTCTCCTTATCTTGGGGTTCAATGCAATTTGTGTTTTTGACTCTCTCTCTTTTTTTGGGAGTTGTTGAGGAGAGAATGATTGAAAATTCCCCAATCTCACCTTCAATATGTTTATGCCACCAATGTTTCTCCATTGACCGTTAGCCAGTAGGCCAACACGAAACCCTTCTACGTATGAATGGCCAGTAGAGCCAAAAGAAAAAGGGCCTAATAGGCTAATACCCAAAAAAAATCGCAAACTTTAGCTTTTGTCCCATTTCTACCTTTTATCTCATAAAAAACCTCCAACTTTAGGTCATGTCCCAATTCTACCCTAAACTTTTTTTTGTTTTATAAAAAACCCTCAACTTTAGGTCCAGTCCCAATTTTACCCTAAACTTTTTTTTTGTCTCTTAAAAAACCCTCAACTTTAGGTAAAGTACCAATTTTACCCTAAATTTTTTTTATCTCATAAAAAAATCTCAACTTTAGGTCAAGTTTCAATTTCACTCTAATTTTTTTGTTTCATAAAGATCTCCATTAACCCTCCGTCAAAATCTCCTTCAGGATTTTGCGCTTATCGATCTCAAATGCTTAGGAATGTTCCATCTCTCGCGATCGGAGAGTGCTTGGGACACTTAAACAGCTCTTGCTTGAGAGATTTCTATCGGGGGAAGAACAGCATTGGTGCCAAAACTTGTGTACGGAGGCCACTTTGGTGCCAAAACTTTTAATCGGATCACTTAAGTGCTAAAAGTTGTGAAAAACGATCACTTAAGTGCCACTTCGCCGGAAATCCGACGTGGCATTTTTTTATTAATTTCTCAAGCTGATGTGGCTCGCCGGAGGCCGATGTGGCTCGCCGGAGGCTAATGTGGCATTTCTTTTCTTTTTGGGAAAAAACCACCAAAAACCCCAAACTTTGCCATCTGTGACACATTTACCCCGAACTTTTTTTTGTGACACCAAAAACCCCGAACTTTGCTTTTTGTGACACATTTACCCCAATGTATTTACTCCATGGGCATTTTCGTCTTTTTTACTTTTTCTTTTTTTTTTTTTTCTTTTTTTTTCCTTTCCGGCGAGGGGGGCCCTCGCCGGCGTCGAGCGAGGGGGCCCTCGCCGGCGTCGAGCGAGGGCGGCCCTCGCCGGCGTCGAGCGAGGGGGCCCTCGCTCGCCCAGCGAGAGCGACCCTCGCCGGCGTCGGGCGAGGTCCGCCCTCGCGGGCGAGCGAGGCGGCCCTCGCCCGATCTGGCGAGGTCGACCCTCGACGGCGTCGAGCGAGGGCGGCCCTCGCCGGATCCGGCGAGGGCCCCCCTCGCCGGAAAGGAAAAAAAAAAAAAAAAAAAAGAAAAAGCAAAAAAGACGAAAATGCCCATGGAGTAAATACATTGGGGTAAATGTGTCACAAAAAGCAAAGTTCGGGGTTTTTGGTGTCACAAAAAAAAAGTTCGGGGTAAATGTGTCACAGATGGCAAAGTTTGGGGTTTTTGGTGGTTTTTTCCCTTTCTTTTTTTTTTCCTTTCTTTTCTTTTTTTTTTCCTTTTCTTTCTTTTTTCCTTTCTTTTCTTTTTTTTTCTTTTCTTTCTTCTTATTTCCGATGGCCGGCCTCGCCGGGCCTCGCCTTCCTCCGGGCGAGGCCGCCGTGGCCTCGGCGAGGGCCGGCCTCGCCGGATCGGCGAGGCGAGCCCTCGCCGGGCTCACCACGCCCGGGCGACCTCGACCCTCGCCCCGGGTAGGGCGAGCCCCGCGAGGGCTCGCCTCGCCCGGATCCGGCGAGGCCGGCCCTCGCCGAGGCCACGGCGGCCTCGCCGGCCTCGCCCGAAGGAAGGCGATGCCCGGCGAGGCCAGCCATGGCCGGTGGCCGGTGGCCGGACGCCGGCCATCGGAAATAAGAAGAAAGAAAAGAAAAAAAAAAAAGAAAAGAAAGAAGAAAATCAGAAAAAAAAATATTTAAAAAATTGAATTATACACATAGAAATGCCACGTGTCATTAAAATTTAAATATAAAAGCCAGGTATTAAATTTGATCGGAATTTCTCGCCGTTGGCACTTAAGTGATCATTTTTTCTCCGATTTGGCACTTAAGTGATCGCCGGCGTAAACTTTTGACACTAAGTGATCCAAATGAAAGTTTTGGCACCAAAGTGGCCTCCGTACACAAGTTTTGGCACCAATGCTGTTCTTCCCCCGATTTCTATCTCTTGGTTGTCAACGAGAAATTTTGGGCGAAGGGTTAATAGAGTCAGATTTGTGACTTAAGTAAAATTTTGTGATTTTTCATGAGACTGTAAAAATTTTACAGTAAAATTGAGACTGGACGGTAAAATTGGGACAAGACCAAAAGTTTGAGGTTTTTCATGGAGCGAAAAAAAGCTTAGGGTAAAATTGGGACAAGACCTAAAGTTGAGGGTTTTTTATGAGATAAAAAAAATTTAGAGTAGAATTGGGACATGACCTAAAGTTGGAGGTTTTTTATGAGACAAAAGGTAGAAATTGGACAAAAGCTAAAACTTGAGGTCTTTTTGGGTATTAGGCCAAAGAAAGAGGGAGGAATAACATGATAAGGACATAAAACAAAGATGTTGGTGTAAAAATAAAACATACAAGTCTTTATATCCTTCGGCATAAGATGGACATTTGATGCGGGAACATGTGTGGCGGAACTTCAAGAAATGTGGAGAAAAAGGAATGATGCTATTGGAAAAGTTGACAAGCACTCCCTGTGGACCCCCTATGGTCTTTTTCAAAGCATCGTGACTTCTTGTTGGTCCCGTTTTGAGACCACGCAACATGGCATTTATGTGCAAAAGAGCTGGATTTTTTTTTTAATTTTGTGATCAATGGACCGTTTTTTTTAGGAATATTGGACATTACATAATGTGCTCATTTGAGTGCTATAACTTTGTTCCGCTCTCTCAAACGCCATGTTGCTTGAAGATCGTTTAGTTGAGTGTCATCGGCGATTTGTGCTGTTGAAAAATCCAAGATGACATTAATTTTGCACAAATTGCACAACATGGCTCATTGGCGAATTGAAGTCGGCTAAAGCGTGCCAAAGGATGTCTCGTGCTAGTGATATTGTCCCGTCCAACCACCTCGTCCCCTTTCTTGCCCTCACCCGCTGAATCCACCACCAAACCCCCTTCGCCGTTGCCCTCACCACCACCCCACCCACCCTTCGGTTGCCTCGCTCTACCATTTTTTATGCCTATGAGGACTCTGAAATCCGACTCTATGACCTCCTGTTTCGCAGCTCCGACCATGGCTTGCCCCCGACACCAAGAAAATCGAGACTCGACGCTCAATCTGATGGGGTCAGGGTTTCATCTTCAAATCAATTTGGAGCGACAAGTGCCAAACAATTTGGTAGGTTGATCGAAGATTGTCCACTTTGGACTTTATTTTTTTATTAAAGTGTCGTTGAACTTACAAATTTTAAATAAAGTCATGTAGGAATAGTCGAAAAGTTTCATTAGAGGCACTCAAGTGAACGTTTTAAGACGCTATGACACTTATATATTCACGAAATTCATAACATTTGTGATGTCCCTTTTTTTTTCGTTATTCTTATTATTTAAAACATGAATTTTCTATGTTGTTTAGTTTGGCTTTGGAAAAAAATGAGGTGAAATACAAGGTGATTAGCAACTAGTGGCCAAAAATAACGTGCTTGTCAACTTAGAAGTTTCATGGTTATTACGTGGAGCAAAGGTGGCCAAATTGAGAGATTACATCAATAGATGAATTACCAATCTTGAATGTGGATGACATTATAGCAACCATTCATATCCACATCGTACTATTCACCTATCATGAAAAGGATGAATTCTTTTTTCCTTCGTAACATCAATCTTAATTTTATTTTTTTCTTCGTATTCGCTCTCCTTTCTAGTTATCTGGCCACCTCGTCCCCTTTCTTGCCCTCACCCGCCGAATCCACCACCAAACCCCCTTCGCCGTTGCCCTCACCAGCACTCCACGCACCCTTTGGCTGCCTCGCTTCACCATTTTCTATGCCTCTGAGGACTCTGAAATCCGACTCTATGACCTCCCGTTTCGCAGCTCCGAACATGGCTTGCCCCCGACACCAAGAAAATCAAGACTTGACGCTCAATCTGATGGGGTCAGGGTTTCATCTTCAAATCAATTTGGAGCGAGAAGTGCCAAACAATTTTGCCACCTTGATAGAAGATTGTCCACTTTGGACTTTATTTTTCTATGAAAAAGTGTCGTTGAACTTACAAATTTTAAATATGGTTTTTTCCGTTATTCATAACATCTGTGATGTCCTTTTTTTTTCGTTATTCTTATTTTTTAAAACATGAATTTTCTATGTTGTTTAGTCTGGCTTTGGAAAAAATGAGGTGAAATACAAGGCGATTAGCGGCCAAAAATAACGGGCTTGTCAACTTAGAAGTTTTCATGGTTATTACGCGGAGCTAAGGTGGCCAAATTGAGAGATTACACCAATAGATGAATTATGAATCTTGAATGTGGACGACATTATAGCGATCATTCATATCCACACCGTACTATTCACCTATCATGAAAAGGATGAATTTTTTTTTTCCTTCGTAAAATCAATCTTAATTTTATTTTTTTCTTTGTATTCACTCTCCTTTTTAGTTATATATAAATAAATAAAAAAACAAGCGATCGTACGCAATTAATTAATATCATTATGTCTCGACGGATGGAAAAGAAATGTCATCTATGAAATTATTTTGCATGATAAGTTCTATATTTGCAGAAAGAATCAAGATTTAGGATTTTGCAACAGCAAGCATCATATGCGCTGGTTAAAGATGGGAACTTTCGAGTGATTCAACCTAACTTTCCTGTGATATTCGAAACCGACAGCCACGACTTCAGCTGGCGAGCATTTTCAACGCTATATTGACCCGGCACAAGTCGATACAAGCCCCCGGAAGGAGACTCGCCACGCTCCTCGAGAACCTCCTGCCGCTTCTTCCTTCTGCATCCCATCATCAGCACCGCCCTGAAAGAAGAGAGGAAAAAGGGTACCCCACCAAAATGGTTTTGGAGATCTGCGTCAAGGCTGCCGCTGGAGCGCCCGACGTTCTTGGGGACTGTAATTTTTCGCCTCTGCGTGATGTTTGGTCATGTGGGTGTCGGGGGATTTTGGTTGTGTCTTTGCTGATCGGGATTTTGTGATCTTCCGTGTTTTCTTTAGGCCCATTTTGCCAACGCGTGATGCTGACTTTGGAGGAGAAGAAAGTCCCGTACAAGAACAAGCTCGTCGATCTCGGTAACAAGCCCCAATGGTAAATCTTTTCTCTCGTTAAGCAATTTTCCGGGGAATGTCATGTTTTGCGTGTTTGACTTTTGGGATTGTTAAGGTTCTGGTCGTGATGATCTTTTCGTGATGGATGTTTTCACTGTAGGTTCTTGGAGATAAATCCAGGAGGGAAGGTGCCACTGATTAAGATCGATGATCAGTGGATCGCCGACTCTGATGTGATTGTTGGCATTCTTGAGGAGAAATACCCTGAGCGATCGCTCACTCCTCCCCCTGAGTTTGCCTCTGTGTAACTCTCTCTCTCTCTCTCTCTCTGTGCCTGTATGTTTATGTGTGGGTGTGTGTCTGTAGTCCTGTCATATTTTCACCATTCTGGTTTATTTTCCGTCTGTTCCTTGTTTGGAATTTCTTGTTATCAGTTTTCTTCATCAGTTCCATGGAAGTTTTCCTCTTGCTTTAAGAGACATTGACGGGGTACTCATGCTGTGCGGTTTCTAGGGGTCTGAGCGTTCTCTTTTACTTCATTTTAAGGCTAGGTATATGTATAGGCAGTAAAATGTGTATTGCCCAAATGTCTTGCAAAACCTGTTTTCTTTTCTTATATTAAGATAGATCAGATTCTGTTTTCTTGAGTTTTGAATTTCAACCGGCTTTATGCCTCCTAAAATTGCAGGGGCTCCAAAATTTTCATCTCCTTTGTGAAGTTTGTGAAGAGCAAGGACCCAAGTGACGGCACGGAGCAGGCATTGCTTGATGAACTGAAAGCGCTGGATGAACACCTCAAGGCTCAGGTTAAATACATATTCACAGTCAACTGCGCATAAAAGTAGCTCGAAAATTTTGCTGTTTCTTCGGTGGGTTTACTGATGTCGTATTATTGTGGGTACAGGGGCCATACATTGCTGGAGAAAAGATAACAGCGGTTGACTTGAGTTTGGCCCCGAAATTGTTCCATCTCGAGGTTGCTCTTGGCCACTTCAAGAAATGGACAATCCCAGAAAGCTATACTCATGTCCACGGCTACACCAAGGTAGAATACATCGTTCACGGCCTTGTATGTTTCTGCAAATTGTTAAGTTTTTGTAGAATAAGGTTCCATTGTGCTAGCTATTATATTTGTACCTTGGTAAGTAATGTTTTGAAGGTGTCTGTGAAAGGTTGATAAACGGACAGAGTAAATTAACAGCCATCATGAGTGCTGCATACTTGTGATTTCTTATTAGAATGCACTTCCTCTTTCATCCATTTACGACATTTATGATTTTATTGCTACTAGCGCCTTTGTGGGTATTGTTGTCAAATTTGCTCTGGAGCCCTCCTTTTCCAATCTGTTATCACACTTCTTTTGTGCTGAAACCTTTAGTGCATGTCAAAGTGTTGTGAATGGTGAGAAAGAGGACAAGAGGCTGTGTCCTATTGTAGAAATCTAGTTGCCAAGGCATTTGTCAGGTGTATTATTATTTGCCGACATAAACCTTGGGCTTCCGTTTGTTTTGGGGAAGTTGAACTTAAAACCAGGAACGCACATATGCAGATCCTTATACCATTCCAAATATCGAATAATTGTTTCTTTGCATAAGAAACACGTGGTCACTCTATGGCAATGCCTTGGTGGTTACTTGACCACCTCAGAAATATCATCTCCAATGGGTCACTCATCATCGCAGTTCTTGATGCAGGACGGGCATTGTATAATCATAATAAAGATTGAGTTATCTAGCTCTTTTAAGTGTGTTAGGCTAATCCTTGACAGCCTTTCTCAATGAATTTCCATTTGTGTTTTCCCAAATGATGTTGTTTGTTTCTTGATCGTTGTTGAGGCTAATCCTTTAGTTGTGTTAGGCTAATCCTTGACAGCCTTTCTCCAGGTCTTGTCAGTTGCTTCTCTAGCTTATTTATGCGGCTACTTGGAGTAGAAAATAGACAGGTTCATGTGGACACTCTAAAAAACAATTGGTGTTTCTTTTGTTTTTGCAGCTGCTGTTTGCTCGGGAGTCCTTCGTAAAGACCAAGCCAGCGAAGGAGCATGTGGTCGCCGGATGGGAGCCGAAGGTCAATGCGGCATGAATCGCTGCTTCTGCGTTATGAGCGTTAGTTGAACTCTTGTTATGGAAGTGTGGTTGAGGCTTGAGAGCTCTCTGCATATTAGTTAAGCCAATAAATGTACCGACTCATCTCACCCTTGTTGGGCTTATGGTATTTATAATTTTAATGGTGTGGCCCGAGTGTGGTTTGAATGGAGGTTGCAAATCTCGGCTTAAGCCCTTCTCGTGGTTTCCATGAATGATTCTTCCTTGGAGTAGCAAATCCCACAGAAAATAATGCGGCTGCTCAGTGAATTCTCTAACTGAGTCGCCTTTACCGCGGTCGGTTCGGACGATTAGTAAGACGATTCGAGCTAAAAGAAACAGTTTATATAGCTACACGAAGTTGAGATTTGTTTCGGTAGTCGCTAATCATGTCGATGCCGCTGGGAAATCAAAAGGAGTGGAAGGTGTGGGATCTTGGCATGAACTAGGAAGTGAACGACATTGCATGTTGGCAATTGAGGGAAAACACTCGGACAGAAGGAAGATCACTGATCCCTTACCAACTTTGGGCCCATCGAATTAGATGTCCGATAACGATTTCTTTTCCATTGCAGCACTCGACAACAAAGACATGCAAGTAGCAAATTCGATTTTCCGGCCCAACTTCTCAAAACAGCATCTCGGTTTGGGCTCAACTAGAGAGATATACATCCTTCTGGGTTGGTGCATATGTTAAAATAGGATGGCATCCTTTGCTGCTTACGTAAAATTAAACTGAGGAAATTCGATTTAGTCGTGGGTAAGTTCGAAAGGTAGTGTTAAATCCGCGTAGGTAAAAAGTTTGTGTATTTGTCTGGTACATTTGGAAAAATCGGTTAAAATTTGTCACGATCGCAAACGTTTCTGTTTTTTTTTTTTTTCCCTTTGTTTTTCCTGTATTTGCCTTAGTTTCTCTATGCCAAATGATCGACTTAGATCCCAACACTGAATCCCAGTAGGTCCCTATCAAGAGTTGTTAATCGTGTTCCGGAAAACACGCGCATTTCCATTTGAAGCACATCGCTTTTCGTTTTATGTTTACACGGACGTCCTTTTCGATTTTCAAGACGCGTCCTAGGAACGGGTACTTGCTAATACGATCCATACAGAGAAAGGTTAGAAAAAGAAGCAGCATAAGATCATGGCTCCCCCTCCCTCCTCCTAAAGTTTCTGAGTTGAATCAGACTGAATTTCTCACGCATGATCTGGGCAATGCCGTAAAGCCTACAGGGGGGACCAAGGGGGCTGCTACAGAGACCGTCGGCATCGCCCACGGTGGCCTAAAAAAGGGAGGAGTTGATGGAAAACGACGCTTCGTTTTGCCAACCCCACTTTGTTCGCTTCATTTACTAAGGCATTCCTCCGCTCACGCCTAACTATAGCGTCCCCCCCATGCGAGCGCGATCCGGCCGCCCCACAAGACGACGGACCTCCCCACCTCCGTTTTGGCGACGACGTCGACGACAAATGACACATGAAGATTCCCTAGGTGTCGTGTCGTATCGTGTCGTTTCGTTGGAAAAGCGAGGCAAGCCTTGCCTCCTTGCATAATGCAACGGCCACGTGCGACCTCGCTTTCTTCTTTCCACCCTGCACGCGCAAAATCGCAGGGGCCAATGGCACGTTGCCACGTCACCGCATTGAGATCGCTCAATGGTGAAGTGTCATTCGGTGAGTTTGGTATCCCGGATTTATCCGAGTAAAGTAAGGTCTGTTTATTTGAAAGATAATCATTTCCGAATTTTTTTTTTCACTTTTGGATGTTTGAATAACGAAAAGCTAATCGATCAATGGAAAATGTTTTTTTTGGATTGAAAACAACAGGCTTGGATCGGGGAAAATGACTTCCCTTTCTGACAAGAAGAAAAGCACTTTACTTAACCACCAAACAAAAGGAAACTAACCATTTTCCTCGAAAATAATTTTCATAGAAAATATTTTCCTTTATCATGAAATTTCATTAAAATGAAGGCACCCTAAAACTATACTAATAATCAAAAGGAATTTATATAATGAGTTTTTTAAGCAATATGTACGTTTGTATGTATTAAAGTGATCTCGGCCAAAGAAAGATCTATTGAAAATTATATGATCTATAAATATGATTCGAGTGGACACACACAGACGATACATTTATTATGAGATCTTGTAGCTTTTATAACTGTTGGCATTGGTGCCACAAAATCTCATGTGGTATCAAAGCAGGAGGTCTTGAGTTCAAATATTTACATGCCCTATTTAGTTCCCCAATTAAATATGTCCATACTTGACACTAGTCAAAAAAATCAAATTAAGCGTGAGGGAGAGTCATAGAATATTTAAATATTCAACCATACCTTCATTTAACAGCTTAAACTTTAAAAAGAGTTGACGGTGATCTCACAAAATATCACGTTTATATTCCTAATAATTCATCTGAATAAAAAATCTTACAAACAGTGCAAATACGAGGTGAAGGATTGAACTTAATTACGAGCCATGACTTAGATATCATGTTAAAGTCATGTTAGGGAAATTCCTCAATTGGCTATATATAGAGGGCAAGCACTCATAAGCACATGAACATACCACTTTCATAAAAATTGCTGGGAGCACGACAGAAGCCCGATACCCTCGCCCGGGGAGATTGCCAAGAGGAAGCTCAAGTCCAAGCTCATCAATATATCCGGTTGGACTCACATTCACTTAAAAACTTAAGTTAATGAGTTATGGGCTTCTCCGATATGTGATTTCTCTAATACAACTTACACATGTAATTTAAAAATCTCCCCCACACGTGTGAGCTCGGTCCCCTTAAGGTATCCTTATGCACCATCATGTTTCATCCCTGGTCCTTGGTCTCTTTCTTCAGAACAAACTATAAAGGCTGCCATTGGGTGGTCCTTGGTCTCTTTCTTGACCGAACTATGAAGGCTACTATCGGGACCTCATTGCTAGATCACAATGCTCACTGCCCAAAAACCGCGTTGTTATACATTGGGAGTGCGCTACCAATCAACCATTGGCTCTGATACTATTTGTTGAGAGCACGGCAAAAACCCGATACCTTTGTTCGGGGAGATCGCCAAGAGGGAGTCCAAGGCCAAGCCCATCAACATATCTAGCTTAATCCATATTTACTCAAAACTTTAAGCCAATGAGTTGTAGGCCAATATGGATATATTAACTGCTCTATACCACATCAATTCTCCGATGTGAAAATTCACTAACACAAATCACACTTATGTCTCAACAATAATAAGGTTCTAGCCGAGCTTTTCAAATTCCGGTCTGTGGGCTTGGGTCGTGCGCATTTGTTTGACAGCCATACATGAAAATAAGTAAAAATATGCTCATTCCATATATGTTTATATGTTCCGTCAAAAAGCCAATAACGCGATCATCAAATCTTTTATGAAAGTATCAATAACAGACATGGAATTTCATAATTGACTACTCTGTATGATCCCATTAACAGCTACATATATTCACATAACTGATACTTTCATTCACATAAATCTATTTACACACTAAGCTTTGCAGTACGAGTTCCATCATTGGAGCAGATGCATCATATTAGCTAAGGGACAATTGCAGCTTCCGTGCTCTTCCGTACATGAAGTGATCTATGGTGATCATCGTCACATTGTATGGACCACCAGAGAGAGAGAGCGCGCCTTTGGGGTGTGTGTGTGGTTTTGGCATATTGAGACAACTATGGACATATACACCAAGGTGAAATAGCTTTCGGAGTAGCTACTGTACCAAGAGAGAATATGTTAAACGTTTGGGTTTGAATGGTCGTTGCCGTCGCCATCGTCGTCATCGTGGTGTGAATCTTGGGAGGCGGAACCAGAGGAGGAGATGATCTTCTGAATCATCTGATTCGTCTCTTCCTCTGACATTCGGTCGTCTTTGCTTCGGAACTGTGCATATTCCTCGAAGAACTCCTTGTTCTCTTTCTCCAGTTCATCCCACACTGCATTCATTAGCATTTCATGTGACACTTGAATCCATCGCATTTCATACAGGCAAGCTTTGTGATAGAAAGTTTCAATCTACAAATCATCGATTATATCCTTACAAGAAAAGTTTTTTTTTTTTGGTAAGGAAAGGTCTTACAAGAAAAGTTAGTACTTTGAAAATTGAAAGTTTCATTTCTACTTGCTTTCGGGGCTAGCAAAATCAAGTGTTTAGCAAGCTTCCTTCCGCTCAACATGTCTAACTATCGACGCAAAACTCAAGAACTTGGTGTTTGTATATATTGTGCAAGAATGTTTTAGAGTCGAGCAAGAACTTATTCATGCGAGAGAGACCATGATGACAGCGCTATTAGCTATGGAAGTTAGTGAAGATCATTTCCGCAGAAACCCTAGGAGCTGAAGATATCAGACATTTCAATGAACAAGGTCGACATACAAAAAAAATATGTGTTCGAAGTATATGAGCGGTAGGTTTCATGACAAGGATTCTGTTTTAATAAATATTTTCCATAGGGTTTACTTTTGTTTGATTTTTTCAACCTAGTATGGTTCCAAATTGCTGGCGTTCTCGCTGATGATGAAGTAAGATTCAATTACCTGCCCGCACGTAAATACTTGTGCCAAAATATATGTATCTAGAGAGGGAGCAGAAGAGAAAACCAGGATGGTTTCCGATATAATACAAGAAGAAGAAGAAATATGAAGCTGACCGGTGGAGGTTATGACAGGTTTGATATCTGCATGCTTGGAGAGGGCTTCCATGCATTCTTCCTTACTCATCCGAAAGATCAAACACTTCTCTATCAGGTGATGCACCTATCATTCGCACATGCAACTCGCCGTCACAAAGTAAACCGAGAACATAAAGACAGAAAAGAAAGACGAAGGGATCGGCGATCTCATGCACGAAGATCCATCAAAACCAGAAAGAAAAAGAAGAAGGATTGAAAGGACACAAAAAGATCAAGAAAGAGAGAGCCGATGAGCAACAGCATGTTCTACAGAGACACAACACGCATCAAAAGCACATGCAGGTTAAGCAAGGACATTAAAGATCGAAGAGAAAAAAGAGCTAATCAGCAGATCCTCCTGTCTTCTCCTTTTCCAAGACTCAACCTGTGGACTCACCATGTGAATATACGAAGCAGACGACGAATCCCCCATGGAAGTGAGATTAGCTGATATTTCAACTCACTAAACTCGTGGGTTGAGATCAATGAGAAAGTGGAAACTAATGATCAAAACGAGCGTTGACGACCCAAGTTTTGAGACTTGGCGGTGCAATCCGATACGGATCTGGCTTTACATATAAAGAGGGGGAGATGCCAATGGGTCCCAAAAAAGAATAAATGTTGAAAAATAAAAATTAAAAAAAAGGAAAAATAGTTTATAACAAAAATAAAGAGAAAAATGGTGGGGTCAGGAGTCCCACGTGGGAGATAAATGATAATTGGTGGAGAGGGGATTAGAGGAGATTTTGCAAATGACCAATCGCTTTGTCTTTATTGGGCTCTTTTTTTTTTTTTTTTTTGGTCGGCTTGATTTCCGCCTATTAGCTACAGAACGCCCCCTCCACGTGATGTGTGGGCCCCCCTTCCCCCTTCTTCGTTCGAGAAATCCCCGCCACACGACAAAAAAAAACCCTGAGGTAGCCATAGCATCCGTCCTCCATTTTGTTAACAACCAATTCCTCTTCCTCCTCCCTCCTTCTCTCGCAAATTGTTGCACCACTTGTATGTCGACCGCTCCCACATCTTAGGTACATCATTCCACTTGCATGGTCAGATATTTTCTTTACATTTTTCCCGAGATATAAACTACGAATCTCGAGCGGGACAACTGAGTTTCGGATTGGACAACCGAGCGATCCACTTCGATGACGCCGTGGTCACAGTTTCGTGTTCGAATTTTCATGTTCTCTTTCCGCCTGCTTATAAGTCTTATTTCGTTTATATCAATGTGGCGAGATTAGAAATTCTTTCGTTACATGTATGTGTCGATTCCCGCGTCTAAAACCTTCTTCATACTACTTTATGGTGAGGGGGGATACTTTAGATATAGAATAAGATGCAACACGTTCTAACAACTCAAGCTTTTAAGGTAAATAGCTTAAGCTTTTCGAAACAAATATTGCACGGTCGATCTTGGTAATTTCAGTGTTTCTATCGGCGATTCCATGATCACTCAGTCAAAACCTTTAATCTACATAATCATGCGGAAGACAACTAGTGGATTACTGAGACAACTGAACATTTTGATTTCTCAATTATCTCTTTTGAAGGTGTTTTGTTTCAAATCGAACAGATGATTGTTGACATATATTGAAGCTTCAATTGACAGTGAACTCCAACTTCTGCGTTTGTGCACTCTCCTATTCTTGTATCATTTCTCACATAACGAATAGAATTGTGTTTGGACACACCTAGCTAGATCTTGTTTTCAATATAGTTCTTCGAGAAAAATAGATTTCAGATTAATTGTTATTATTAGCATGCTGGACTATATACTACCATTTCTTTTATATTCGGAATACTCTACTTTTCATCTAGTTGCTAATAGGACAGGCACACATTTCATGTAATCTACATCAACTTTAATCAGTTGTCTTTTTGAATATTTGTGTGGATAGCAGACGACAATTTCAGAAAATCACATCAATCAAACATGCATGGAATATGGTCAAATAGCCCAAAGTAGGAATTAAAATTATGTAAAATGTAGTCCATTGTATCCGTTCATATACCCATCTCCTCTTCCCATCGCGAGATCGTTGTCACATCTTTTATCTCATTTGGGTGTTCATCGCGCAGATCCAATCCCCACATATTCAAGCACGACTCCTCTCTCTCTCTCTCTCTCTCTCTCTCTCTCTCTCTCTCTCTCTCTCTCTCTCTCTCTCTCTCCAACCCCTGTACCACTCAGCCCACTGTCGTCAACTGAGCTACGCAGGCACCGCCACCGGCTCGTCTTCGTATCCATTGTTGTTGTCCTCCTATTATCCGCTAGCCATCTCCGCCGAATCTATCTATCTCACGCATTGCCCACCTCACAAGTATAATCATTGTCCTCCCTAGCATCAGCCCGCCGTTGAGACATTGATGACCTTTAAGTGGCCCTTGAGGCCTCGAGGCCATTGAGGTTACGGCTAGCCTTGATAGAATATTTAAATAATAAATCATACTTTCATTTAACATTTTAAATTTTTAGAACAGTTGGCAGTAATCTCATAAAATCTCACATGGTATTAGAGTAGGAGGTTCTGAATTCAAATCTTTCCAGGCCCCTATTTCCACAGTCGGCGATAATCCCAAAAAATCTCTCATGGTATCAAAGCAATGAGACCCCGAGTTCAAATCATTCTAAGCCACATTTGTCTCCCCAATTAAATAAATTCACGCTTAGTACTATGCAAAAAGACCATACTAAGTGTGAGGGGTAGTGATTGAATATTTAAATATTAAACCATGCTTCATCTAACAGTTTAAGCTTTTAAAACTGTGACAACCCGGTCCGATGAGGGCGGGGAGTGGTCGCCGGGGTCCGAGGACATGGACAAGGAGCAGCTCCTGGCAGGCTTCTAGGATGACGAAGGGGGCACGTCTCTCCTGTCCCACATCGCTTGAGGGGGGGAGTCATGGGCAACTTATAAAGGCTTGGGAAGCCTTAACTTGCAAGAGGCCTTTTTCTGGGAGTAGTATAGGCTACCCTCGGATGACCAAAACCGTGAGGACTTAGTATCCAAAGCGGACAATATCTTGCGAGTGAAATCCAGGTCGTTACAGGTGGTATCAGAGCCGACTCCCGACCGCGTGTGGGGCCACAGCGAGGACGTTATGCTCGAAGGGGGGGAGAGTGTGACAACCCAGTCTGATGAGGGCGGGGAGTGGTTGCCAAGGTCTGAGGACCTGGATAAGGAGCGGCTTTTGACAAGCTTCTAGGATGGCGAAGGGGGGAACGTTTCTCCTGTCCCACATCGCTTGAGGGGGGAAGTCCTGGGCAACTTATAAAGGCTTGGGAAGCCTTAACTTGCAAGAGGCCTTTTCTGGGGGTAATATGGGCTGCCCTCAGAGGAACAAAATCGTGAAGACTTAGTATCTAAAGCGGACAATATCTTGCGAGTGACACCCAGGTCGTTACAGAAATCGTTGATGATGATCCCACAAAATCTCACAAGCCTCCGGATCTAGAGGCTCAACCCATCCACTCTAGATTTGAAGGCATCAAGATCTGGATTTGTCGCCAAGGATGAGCAGCTCATTGACACCGATGAGGGAGGGGCTTGACACGCTTTGCCAAACTTCTCATAAGAGATGAACTTGATGCCCTTGAGCTCGCCCTATGACGGAGAGAGACATGAGAGGGTGTCATGAGAGCTGAGAGATGACAAAGAGGCGACTAGAAAATGGAGAGTGAGATATGCACGCCATTGTTGGTAGTGGCATGGTGGCGATGCTTGCGATGGTCATCGTCGATCTGGTGGTTGAGGGCAGCAAGGGACGTTGCTGTCTATGGGGCTGTACTAAGAGAAGGAAAGAGGGGTAGGAATAAGGCCCTGTTTGGTTCAGTATTTGAATGCTGCTTTGGGACTCTAAAGTCCCTTGAGCAAATGCAAAATTATTTGGCAAGCTTTGAGGAGATGTAATTGCATCGCCAAAGCTCTCCAAGAGCCTTTGGTTGAATGGAGGGATGGAGGAGCCTTGGGGAACTTGCATTTTCGGGATGCAACGTCACTGTTCATTGAGTGACTACTGTTCATCTTCTTCAACCTTTGGTTCCAGCGGTCAGCGACCGCTGCCTGAGGGGTAGCGTGACCCCAGCGACCTCCGCCTGGGGGTCGCGCGACCCCCTTGACCGCCGCCTGGAGTCACAGGACCTCAGGCGACGCCCTGGGTTGCGCGACCCAGGCAATGCTTGGCCTAAGTCTCGCGACCCAGGGCGTCGCTCGAGGTCCAGCAACCCCAGGCGACGCTTGAGGTCGCGCGACCTCAGGCCGCCTTGCTTGAGGTCAGGCGGCGATGGCCGGTGACCAGATTTGGCCGTCGGCGGTTGGCCGGCAACCATATCTGGCCGGCGGTGGTGATCGATGGGTGAGCTCCACTGAGATTTTTTTTTTGTAAATATCAGCAAAAGTCTTTTACAAAATATAATTTTTACCCCAACTGTATATAAATCAAAGTTGCTTTCAAATGTGATTTTAAAATATACATTAACAAAAACTACTTACATTTTGAAAAACCCCTTTAACTCAAAGGCTTTTGCATTTTGTTAAAGGCATTCCCCCAAAGCCGAACCAAACGGCCCTAATATGAATTAAAATAATTGGAGTGGAAAGGATTAAAATAAGTTGGACACATGGTACAATCACGTGATGGGGACAGAAAATGAATAAATAAATGGAGACAATTGATATTCATTGGTCCTATATGAGGTTTAGAATATTGTAAAGGAGTAAGTCACATAGGCATGCAATAATATGAATTCTCAATAGTCATATATATGCAATCACATCATTTATATATCCATATATTTCTCTATTTCCAATGTTGTTAATCCTCCTGTTGTGATATTTCTCTATTTCAATTAGGTTTTAAAGTTTGGCCAAATTAGAAAACAAAATTGGTTTTTGAGTGGCCTTCTCTTCACTCATGTCTCTGCTAAATTGGCATTCGCAAGCGTACAAGAATTGCCCATGCGCTAGGGGTGTCAAGCGGTCATTGGTCAATTGTTCCAAAAATTGAAACCGACCTTTGCCCTAGACTAGATCAAACCCTCCTCTCTCATTCTCAATTCTTGTTCATTTCTGAAATCATAAGCGTCTTCTTCCGCTGAAAGCTTTTGCATGCAGTCAGCTCAATCAATGTCTTGTCTTGCTTTGCTCTCTCTCGTGGGGGTCCCCGCCGACAGTAGCGAGGTCCAGCATCATTGGCTCCGCCACCTTTTCCTTGATAATGCCACTAATCACATGCCTTTTTAATGACCACATATACTTGTGCAAAGGAGAAGGATGAAGGAAACTACAGGAATATTATTCTATTATTGACGTGACATTTTCCTTCGATCATGCACTGAATTGGCGTGTTATAGAAATAGAGATTACCCACCTGTAATTTTAGTTGAGTTAGTATACGAATAGTATCATAACTTGTAACCCATTAATTAGAGATGTGATTGATGGAAATTTCTTCATATATGATAGAAAGTATAACCCATATGAGATTGCTTGTGCTCATGCTCCATTTCTTGCCCCCATTTAACACATCTTGAATGCGCTCCGCAAACAGATTTCACCCT